TCCAATTCATCATCCACCTGAAAAGCACATCTCCCAACTTGGACCAGCATTGGCAGATGCACATCTACCGTGCCTGACATGCCTGCAGGAACAACTGCAACCGCCTCATGGTGAATGGAGGCTGCAGCTTTGTGTGCACTTCTCTGTGTACAGTTCAGGAAGCGAACATACCTGCAATAGCACCAGCTGCCGAAGAGCATTTGAGTGGGAGGATCAGAAGGCCCACTCTGAGGCCGTTCCCTTTCATGTTCTGTTCTTGGGTCTGCTCTTTTCTCTTCATCTGTGAGTTTGTGTTCTCGTTTGTCCAGGCACCATTCCCCTGTCAGACTTTGTCTGGGCTGCACTTTACCATCTCAATTGTTGCCCACTGCTTGTGAAAGGCTTTGCAGGTCAGGTTCATGTCTTTGCCTCTTCCGCCAGTGCCAACTTTCTCTGTCCTTTGCCCATGTGCTGCAGGAATGGGTGACCGTGCGAATGTGGGCATGGTCTTGAGTGGTGTGGACCATGGGATGTTGTTGTCAAAACTGGAAGACACAGAGTTGGAGATATCTGAGGGTGTGGCAGCAGTCCTGAGGGAGTATCAGGCGCAACACTCCTGGGTGTTCTACATGACTGAGAGGGATCCTTTTGCACCGATGTTCCAGATGCAGGACGTGTTCCCCAACACAGACGCCTGCGACCGAATGCGGAAGTTGCAGTCTGCAGCTGTGTGGACAAGCAAGAACAGGGTCCAGGGCAATGTTCGCACAAAGGTAGGCCGCTATCTGCAGGGCAGTTGATATCTGCAGGTTGTACCGTTGTTGCTACCATTATTTATGTACTGTACTCTTTGTTACTCGACTCTGTTAGAGGTTTTGCAGTCCTCTATTGGTTTGCACTGCGTCTTGAATGGTTAATTGTGCCCCCCTTCAGAAGTTTGAGGTGCCAGAGTTGCTCTCGTCCATGTGGATGCAGGAACGACCTCGCAGAGGCGGCCCGCCACCGGGGTCTGCAACTGCGTTCAATGTGGGTGACCATATCGCATGCCACAGCGCCTTGGGCGACATCCGTGCCTACACAAGGGGTGTCATTGTGGGCGTTTATGATGGGCAGTGTGAGGTTCGATTTGGACGACAGCGCTGCACACAATTCGTTCCCACTGGCCTGCTGTTCAGAACAGTACCCGAGGAGAGACCCCAAGGGCGAGCAGGGCGTGGCGCCCCCTTTCCCCCTCACAATGTGGGCCCCATGAGGAGGCCATCCCAGAGAGCGACGGGCATGGGCCCCCAATCGTCCATGCCTGGTGCCGCCCGCGGCTCCACACCTGCATGGCGCCCATCTGGTGAACCCCACGGTATGGGTGACGAGGTGCCTGGCTGGGAGAACGGGCGCGGGCGAGGGCGTGGCCTCCCAAAGGGGTCGAGATCTGCCTCTGAGACAACTCAAGGAGGTGAGTGGTGCAACACCAACCCCAGGCACAGACCTGGGTGGGATGGCCCCAGACCGGCTGGGCATCCAAATGCCCCACCCCACCGCCCCATTTTCGGGGGCCCTCCATATGGGCCACCTCCTGGACTTCCCTCCGATCACCCTTATTTTGTTCCCCAGGAACCCGGTGGACCTGGAGTCCCACCGTTCGGGGACTCTAGCGGCCCTCATCGGCAATATAGACGCAATTTTGTCGGGAGGTCGCGAAGGTAATGGTAAGGGAGGGGCATGGCAGTGTCCCAGTCAATGGTGGCGGAAGCTGTTCTCCCCACCGATGCGGGTTTGTGGGCGCAGCTGAAATGTGGACACATAGGTGGACAGGTCGCGTCTTTGTAATATGAAAATGACCAGATTGGATTGGATTGGTGTCGTGGTTGCATGCTGGAGGCCAGGCAGTGGTTGTGCTGAGCTGTCTGAATGACATGATTTCGTGTTGGCTGTGATGGCAATCCTTTTGCATTAATGTGGAAGCACATGGCAACCACTACCCTTGTGCTCGCATGGAGATTGCGGGCATGTTGGCTCCACATGGTTAACGAATCTTGGAGCTTTGGAAGCCCGGAGATATTGCTGTGCTGCTTGCACGCGGCACGAGCGTGGCGCAAATGGCTGCTGCGATCTACGTCCTCGGACCGAGCCGCGACTTGAGAGCATGGGCACTGGTTCAGGCTGCCTACAGCTGATGACGCTGTGGCGTCTGCTCCCTGCGAAGGCGCGCGAGTAACTCAGGAATTCCAAAGTGCATGCACATATGGGTTCGAGCGTCTGTGAGGCCTGCCCCGACAGGATTCTCCTGCGTCCGTCTGGAAACGGTTGCATATCCTGGGTACGCATACCCAGCATGGCGGTCATATCCTGGATACACATATCCATGATATGGCCATAACCAGGATGTTGGGTGCCCATATCCTGAACATGGCCATACCCTGCCATTATATCCTAGATATGGAGATTCCATATCCAGGGTATGGTGGAGAATATGGAACCCTCATACCCTTCAATATGATGTGGAATGCATCCAGGATGATCCAGGCAAAATACTGGACTTTTACCAAAAATGAGTTTCCCAGATACTTTCAATTCTGCACATGGTCAACGTCAAATGCACACTCCTTCAGTTGCGCCTTGGAACGTTCGTGTTTACTCTTGAGCCTTGGTCTGCTTCAAGGGTAGCCAGGAAAGCCATTTTGGGTACATGGATCCCAGGGAAGACACTATTTTGATTTTTTGAACGGTTAGCGTCAAATTGACGGGAGGAGGGGCTGGGGAGGGACGGCAACCATTGACGCTGAGAGATTGTGTTATTGCACTAATATCAGAATACGGTGGGAAGAGGCATAAACGTGCCGCTGATCAGCGGCAAATTACTCATGAATTGTTGCAAAACCTCCCTCGAACTTTCAATCGTCGAGGAAGTCCTTAGCATATATCAATTTTCAGGCTTTTGGGCTGCTCCCATCGCCTATCATGACTTTGGCATCCCAAACACCGCAATCGCTACAATTTACCTAAGCTTTTTTCCTTAAAAATATTTTGAAGTTGTGTGGTATTGTTAGGTAATGTTGATGAGTCATAGTGACGTGAAAAGAAGGATTGACGCTAAACGGGGTGGTGGTGGGGGGTGGGGAGGGGGTGGGGGGTATTTGAACCTTAACTCCAATTTCACGCCAAGCATGCATAAATCAAAATAACGTCTTCCCTTATTTGTAGGTCGCATACCATATTTACCTGATATTAGCACATGTAGACAAGGCCCCCAAACGGTGCCATGGTTGCTAAGACTGGGACATGGGTGCCCACATGTTTCGGACCTTGATCCAACGGGGGGCTGGGAGAAACCTTGGAAATCAATCCCCAAGTAACGGAAAAACTTTTCGTAGAATAACGAAGAATGCATGGCACGGGCCAACAGTGCGAGCCTTCATAACCGTGGCAAGTTGGGAAGCAACCGCCTGTAACAAAAGTTCTCCGCAAGCATTGCCTTGGCTCATCGCCTCTCGATCCAATCCACCATTCGCCCAAGCAATATATGAGGATAAGTGTCTGTTCGCACCATCCGCCTCCCAACCTCTGTTCCTGAAACACTCTCTTCACTCTTGTGCAATGGCAGCTCCGCGCTCTATCTGCACATCGCCATTGTACCCACCTCCCTCTCAAGCAGTTACGACAGGCTTGTTGCTTCACTGTAAGCAAACGACCAATTTCGCCCCCGTTTTGTGTAAGTGAAAGCTGGGATGCATGTCATCAAGAGCCCGTGAAGGTGGCGCAGCTGGAGCAGAACTTTAAGTTGGATGCTAATACTGGGTAATGCACTAGCTCGCTTCAGGATCGAAGAACCCGCTAGGCCAGCGGGTGTCGGAGAGAATCGACTGCACATATGTGTCCCCTATGTGCCAGTTTGACAGCGCCATGTGACTTGACGTCTCTCCAGAGGCGAGAGCCTCCGCCCTCCACATCGACACAGTGGCAACCCCCCCGCACGGAGGCGTCGTGCACCCAGCACTCGTGGCTGTATCGGTAGCTGCTGCCGGACCATGAATTCTACTGAGGAGCCCCCAGAACAGCTCCACCCCCACGCCACCACATCGTTCCTGCATCCGAAAGCCGGGTACCCTGCCACCATTGCCTCCAAGGCGCAACGGCAGCGCCTTTCCCGCTTTTCCCTTGCTCCTCCAAACCGTTCATTTCGAGAGTCCCACACCCGCCCATCCCAACAAAAGGACGGACTTCGGCCCCCAAAAAGTGTACGACGCAGGCGCCCAGCCGCATGCGACCAGATCCTCCTTACCAGCGATGACCCGCGCCGCGAACCGCGGCCCCGCCGGGATGACGGGCACATAGGCGGCGCCGCGAGGCCCAGGGCGGGATTCCCCCACCGCCCCCCGCCCCCCCTCTTGTGCGCGCACCGCACCACGCCGCGTGGCGCCACACTCTGCCGCCGACGGCTCTGACCGCGCGCCTTGTGCGGGAGCCACGGGGAACGGCGGGACTCCGCACGGTGTGGGGAGCCCAAACCCGTACGATCCCTCCAGTAGCGCTCGCGACCGCGGGGTGCTTCCAGCGGGAAAGCCGTCGCGGGGGAAGATAAAAGGTGGGGCAGCGGGCTGGGCAGTTTGCGCGGCGGTTTGGCGATCCCTTAGGAGCGTTTCCGCCAATGGGTCCCCGGGTGGAGAGGAGGGGGGGAGCGGGTTGCTTGCCGAAGGGTGGGCCTCGGAGCGGCGCCCGGGGTTTTGTGGGAGGGGGTGGCGGGCGAGGGGATCGCTGGGTGAGATCGGGGCGGCCGCACGGTCGGTGTCGCGACGGACGTCGAGGGGGTTTTGGGGCGCGGGACCTTCCGAAATGGCGCCCGCGCGGCCCGCCGGCGCGCGCGCTCTGGGTGGACTGGGAAGCAGGGCTGTTGGAACGAGTCGCTGGAGCGGCGTCAACTTGTCAGTTGGCAGGGAAGCGCAACTTCCCAGTCCAGGACCTGGTCAGGTTCCGTGGTCGGTGCCGTACCGCCCGGTAAACGAAGTCGGCTCGTTGGTTGGCGCTTGCCTGGTGGCCGCCTGAAAGTGCGTGTTTTCGTGGTTTCTTGTTTTCGGACGCGGTGGGGAGGGCCCCTTCGCTGGCGCGGGCGCCGCGGATCCTCTGCTGTTCCGACGGGTCTTGCTCTGGATGGGCTCCCGGTCGACCGGCATGTTGTTCGAGTGGTGAAAGAAATGGCGCGCTGGGCGGAGTGGCAGCGCGCCTGGGTGGAGCCTGGAAAGCGTGCCAGATTGTGAGCGGGTTGCTGCTCCCTTATCGTTGAAGTGCAGTGTGCGAGGACGCCCGACATCCGCGATGGTTGTGAATTGAGTTGAAGGATGGAAGCGGGGAAGAGGGCGTTCAAGTGTGCGCACACCTTCCCGTCGGCCCAAACACGCGTCCACTTGGCGTCGTCGCTTCGGGTGCTTGGATTTTAAACTTCCGTCGCAAAGAGCGCCGGCACTTGCCGTTGCCACAGTTGATCCCCAATCATCTGCCACCGACGGCCCCCGTTGGGGCAGGACTTCCTTCTCTGCTCTTGTTTTGTTCGCGTGGATATTGCCAGGAAATTGCAGAGGTGTCTTATCCGAATGGTAGATGCGTTCCCGCAGGGTTATGGCTGGCCCGCGGGAACAAGGCTCGCAAGAGATTCCACTCAAGGTTGGAGAGAGAACCTCGTCTGCTACCACCTCGAGTCCGGCGGACCGGTGTTCTACAGCCCAGTCGCCCAAGTCCATCCTGAAGTGCACAGCCTCCCCGGACATCAAGAGCGGCCATTGCCGGACACTGGCCTGGCAGGACTTCCATGGGAAGGAGTTGTACTCTGTGCTGGAATTCGTGAACAGGTTTGTGCCACCTTTTCTCTACCCCAACATAGCTACTTTGCGGTGTGAGTACACGATGTGTATGTATGTGAGTGGCAACCTCGCAGTTGGTGTCAATGCCCCTACAGCACCTCAATGTAGCCCATCAGTATCATCTGTTGTGGCCTGAAGCTCTATACCATGTGCAGCACTCTTCTCTGTTCGCCTGCCAAAGCGGGCTTCAGAATCCAGGGCAGTATGCTTCTGGTTCATTTACTTCAGAACTGGCAGAAAGCATTGTTGGGTTTTCAACGTGCAGAAGCACATGATACAAGGGGTACAGGAATATTCAAAGAGCAAATGCCTCCCTGCTTGCATTGTCAAACAGTGGTCATCGAAGGTATAAGTTTTCCTAGATGTCTGCAGGGAATTCTCATTGCCAGGCAAAAAGATCACCTGTGCCCCACATCAATATGCAATAGTGCAAGCCAAAGATGGGTCAGCAGGGTGGAGCAGGGTTGTTGCTCCTTCTGCAACCGCAGCAACAGGACATGCAGTGAACACCTGTCAGGCCCAGAAGCATAACTAAAGTCTAACCACGAATTCCTCCTTCCGGCAAAGTAGAGTGCACAAAGATCAGATGGACATCCAAAACCATAGGTGCAGGGCAAGAAATGGTCAATCCCCAAATGCCAGAAATAAAATTGAAGTTTTAGTACGCGTTCTGCCTCATGCAGAATGTGGTGCATTATGAACCAGTTCACTGGCAAAATGGGTGGAAGAATGGTATTAGTAGATTCCTTTTTTGGCTGCATACATTACCTTATCTGTGCTTGCTTCCATAGAGTTTGTTTGACTGGCGGCACACGAGATGTGGAGAAACAGTTGGGTTGAGGGGTCGGGCTTCGCAAAAAGCATCCAAACTGCCAATGGCATGATTACGCAGCCGTTGATCATTGCGCCATAAATGCATTGGGCACAATCCAGTACTGAACACACCAAAGACAGTATTTCAGCATGGTGTCCGAAATACACATGGATGCACTCCCCATGATGCCCATACACATCTTAATCCCCCACAGAGGTTGGCCAGTATGTGGCACCATCAAGCGTTATCAAGGACAGTCCAGCTCTGGTACCAGAAAGAGAGGTAGCCCACAGAATATGGAGTGGTCGACAAATTTATCTATTCCAGGGCATAAAGGTCAAATTTAGTGTCCAGGTGCCAAACCTCTGCACAAAGGTTGTGGGCCTTGTGCCACCCAACAAGAATTTTCAAGGCGATGCACAGCCTCCCTGGATGATTACTCTTGTGTTGTGAGCATATTGCGAACGATTCCTTGCACCAGCTCATGCACAGGAACGGTGTCCTCTCACAAACACTGCCAGATGAAATTTTTAACAAGGATGGTGGCCCTGGATAGCTTTGGTAACGGTGCCTGTGTACAATACACCAATGCATTTCACTCTGGAAACTTGCCACAGAACCGCGTCGAAATTGCACAATTTTTGACGTAAATCTTACTCGTTTTAAGCGATATGGAATGTACATGTTTTAATCCTGTTTGATCCAGCGTTCCTATGGAATATGATGGAAAATACATTCGAAAAGATTAACAAAACTCGAAAGTAGAATTGTGCAATCGCTTCGGCGATCAGAAACGGCGACACCATCAATTGAAAGTGTGGCAACTGGATAGCTTTTGGGTCAGCAGCTTTTTCTTCAGGCGGACTCAGGCAGCCTTCCATGCTGAGATCATTGACTCAGTTGCGATGGTGGCTGTTGTCGTCGCGTGAGACACTTGTGTCAATGGGCAAGGGAGGATTGACTCCTTTGACCAGATTTTGCCAAGAAACGCAAAAGCCCTCCCCATGCACCAGGAACGAGAGGACGGGGTAGTCGCATGCCCATGGTGTGTTTGAAAGTGTTTGTGCTGGTCCCTTCATTGAGAACAAGGAAGGGGAGGGCAGTTCTGCAGGTCAAACTAACAGGAAGCGTCAAATTGCCACCCCCTTTCTGTGTCCTAAGACTTTGGACTCCTAACAGCTGACGTCAGCTACCACATATGGGAGAGGCGATGCGCAGTCCTACGCACGATTGATGTCATCTGTTGTGACCAACCGTGGTTGCAATGCCATCCAATTGGTGTGCAATCTCAGCCGATTTTAGTCTATCGACGCATCAGTGCAAAAACACGTTTTGCTGCTGTCCCCGCTTGCCAACTTGCGAAAACGTTTGTATCAGTGCATTGCCATCATTATCAGCATATCATCATTCCTACAGAACAAGGCAATTAAGCAGCCGTCAGCTTTCTATTTTGCCCTTTACACGCTTGTTTCAGTGTATCGTCGTCGGCAAACACTTCTGGCAAATTACGGATTGATGGATTCTGGATTTTGTTTGTGTTGTTCATTGGATTTCGGTGAGCAACTAGTGAACGCCGCTTGGGTTAGGGTAAAACATGAAGCTGGCGGCTACCTCATTGCCTTGTTCTGTAAAAATGAATGATCATGATGAAGCTGAAGGCTACATCCTTGCCTCGACCTTGAAATGTAAATATCATGACATGCAAGAAATTGTTGAGGACACGGTTGAGGATATCGTTAAGGAAATTCTGAGGCTGCGTTCAGCGCATTGGAGCAAATTTGACAAGGGCGGTCGGGCGAAGTCTTTTGTCGCTGACCTTGGTCGTCGTTTGACCATGCAGTGACGAGGAGCAATCCGACGATGAGGAAGCATGGGTGGGGAGCCGACCATGTTGTTCGATCATGTGAAGGAACGAGGCAAAGGTGACAGCACGCACCGTGGCGGACTGTGTAGCGCCGATCTGTTGGGTGCTGCATCGGCCCTCCCTTGGTGCACGTTTCCATCCCGGAAGGGGCTGAGCAGCTGCTAGGGGCATTGGACCGTTTGGGGCCACAATCGCGGGCTGCCCCGGGGGTGTTTCATTTCTCGCCGGTCTCGTGCACTGCGGATTTTTGTCGCCTGGGAGGTTTTCCCGGCTTTGGCGTCGGGCTAGTGAGGGGCATATTAGTCTAGCAATTCTTTGGCGGCCGATCTGGTGTTGCGCAAATGACGACCGCGGCAGGGGGAAGCGCTACCATTGTTGATTCTTTTGGCGTTCCTGTGGGCAGCCGGGATCGCGCTCGCGAAATTCGTGCATTCTCCGGGTTGCCCCGCTTCTGGGGACCCTGGTGCTCGAACGAGACAAACGTGACGACAAATGAAAGGGGGTCGGCTAAAGGGGGCAATAGGTTAGGACACGGACAGAGCCGTGCGCGGCAGAGGCTGGTGGCGCTGACTGTGCGGACGGACGGGCGGTGAGATCACGAAGGCAGTAATCGAAAATGTGGATAGACGGACGTAATTTGCTGAGAGGGGGCAGTTACAGTTTGGAAAGGCGCTGGTAAACAACTCTGAGCAAGCAAGGCTGACCTTTGCTCACCTCATTGGCATGTGAAGCGTGTGGGCACTAGCTCCATGCCAGCGGGATGCAAACCGCGCCAGACAGGCTATTCGCCCATTTATCACCACGCCAGCGGCGCACGAACGCGCTGAGCTCACATTTCATTTCGCGAGCACTGCGGTACTGTGTCAGAGGCTTACACACAAGTCAAAGCGCCACATTGGCAGTGGTTGCATACATATTCAGTTGAATTGGTCCAATGCACGGGGCTGCACCGCGTCGGGCATTGCATGTTCGATAAAGTGGCATCCATTCGCAGCCAGATTCTCTCGCCTTGGCAAACTCTCTTCCGTTCAACATTCGGCTTCGAAGGCACGGGCAAGTGTATCGTCCCAGCCTGTGAGAAATTCCGTGGAGAGCAGTGGCCGTTGCTGCAGCGAGACGTCCCGCAGAGGATCAGACACTAGCAGGCAACGGGGGCCTATGCGCTGGTGCCTAGCACCGCCAATAGGCAGGCCAGCACATGAGGCAGGCGGCAGGGCTGCCATATCCGGTGCTGGCTAATCCATGCGCCAGCAGGTCATTCTGCCAGGAAAGCAGTCTGCGGCTTTTCTCAGCTCTCCAAATGGACAACATACCTGGCGGAACAGAGAACGTGTGTTCAGAACCCTAGCGTGCAATGAAATCAAGAGCGCGCATCCATCCAAGTGCAAGAACAACCGCGAGTACGGTTGAGTGGTCCAGCTGCCTTTCGCCGACAAGATAAGCAATGGGCAGCAAGAGGGAGCCTGACCGACAACATGACGTCTGGTAATACGTGACGTTCGCTTTTCTTAATATTTCCGAACAGGATGCGGTGTTTCGAAACTCTCAAGATGATTTATGCTTTTGCCTGACGTCTGTTTAGCCCGGCAGTCCATCCTCCCCTGCTGCGAACTCAAAGCGACTGGGAAAACGGCGCCGTGTGCAGCGGTAGAATGGAACAAAAAAGAAGAAAACAACATCATTTGCATCTGCTGTTTTTAATCATTTGCTGCTTTGCGCATTAGGCGCGCCCCATACAGCAGTTGGGACAACCTGCACTGAGGCCAGGTGGCCCACCTAGCCACCCCGAATACGATTCGGAATAAAGGTTTGAGTCAGCTGCGCACACCCACTCTATTGACCGCACCAACTCTTTTGCAATGCTTACTCTGTGAGTTGTTGCAAGTTCTTGAATCCGTCCCTTGCCATTGCGCTGGGGGCCGGTCGCTTCACTTTCAATGTTTTCTTGTCCCTTAGGAGCTCCCAACCAGCCTCTTGGGCTCCTGCAACACAGGAGGCGACAGGCAGCGTGATGTCCCTGACGGGCTGTCGGGCGTGCAACGCAATGTTATGGAGTACACAACGCAGCGAAGCTCATATTCATCACTGCCTCCTAACAAGACTTGAATTTGTACATGTTGCAGCTCGTGCCATGGCACAGCAAACCCGTGCATGCTGCCTACAATTTGTTGGGGAATTCGGCAAACAACCGATCCACAATCAGCATGGCCATGGCTTGTGCTGTGTCTACCAGCACAACAGTGGCAACTCTGAGGTCAATGCTCCCGTCCATCTCCCTCCCTCGATCCTTCGACAATGACCACACTCCCATTTTGCAGCAAGTGCATGCCAACACGCACAACAAACAGAAACGTTTTACTTGCTGCAGAAAAGGGCGCTTCTTTTGAATCAACGCGGCCCAAAGGCAACTATGCCCAGGTCGCCATGCGTCCATGCGGCGCCCAAGAAACGGTGTTCAGGTGTTGTGCCTGACTATACCCCGGGGATACTACCAGCCCCTTTTCACGCGATCATATGCCAGCCACTCACTTGCAATTGCCTGCTTCTCTGTCAATCCGACAAACCCTGCGAACTTGGCAACGAATATGGTGGAGTAGGCATGGCACACGAGGTCCACCACCCTGTTTCGCAACCGAATCGTCAGCTCATCCACCAAAGCCTTCACGTCGGGACTCCACTGATGCCCTGACAGCGCAGGCCAGTAGCACTCGTACTGCCGGTTCCACAGCACCCCAAGGACACGAAATGCAGACTGCAGCTCTGTGTTGCCCTGGCAGACGGCGCAGCAGTATCTTCAAGAAGGCAATCAAGAGTTGCAGACGTTGTGAACACGTAAATGCTCATTAGGGGCACAAGTCTTCAGTGGTCACCCTTTGTCAAAGCGCACCGTCTTTTACCAGTGGGCCAACGTTGGGCACCTCATGAAGGGCACCCACCGTCGCAGGCATCCGATAGAGGACATGGTACAGCTGTCAGCATGTGAATCTAGCTGTCGTGAGGAATCAGCGAGACGAGTCCATGTCAAAACGCATTGAGGAAACAGCGCAACAGATGCCCAAAGTTGTTGTGCAGGCCCAGTTTCGATTGTCATCAGTTAAAGCACATTACCAAGAACGCCTGCAAGGGTATGTACAGCACACGAGGCAACTCTATTCCCATCTCCTTCACACTTCAAGCCTGTATTTTCATGATACAAAAGACCTTGCACAAAAAGCAAGTGGGTGTCCCGAGCATGGTGCGCATAGGGAGGAGGCTGGCGATTTGAACTCATCCCAAAGTTCATGCACAGCCCATCAGACATCTATCAGCAAATCTGCCTGCCCAAGATGCCTCCATCCGCACAGCACAAGCTTTGAGAGAAGGCATGCACATCGTTCGTGGAGCATCACCTGCTTTACAGACTCGGGGATTCGTTTCCATAGAAAGCGCCCCTCCTCTCTGTCGCATCATAAATCAGGCTTCAGGTGCAAAGGCTCAAAACACACTTTCTAAACATAGAAAGGCACTGCCTCACACACGGTGCTTGGGCCAATAATCAAAGGCAAGAGAACAACATGTTCCCGATGCCACTGCACCTATCATTCCCTTTCCAAGTGGAGGGGCTTCTTGCCTTGTGTTTGTGACACATGCTGTCAGCACAGTTAACAATGCATTGGGTATTGTCAACCCAATGCAGGTGAAGCCCCAGGTGGAATTTTCCCATTGCTGCTTTTGCCATTTCAGAACAAAGCGATACTCTTCCTCTTTCAGAAACATCAGGCACATTGACTTCTGTCATTGTCTCATGATCGATGGCAGGCAAGACACGTATAAGGTTGGTCGGTGGTCAAACCTTGACAATTGGCACAAGTGCATGAGTGTTGGCCTTACGTATGAACCGCAACAAAGATGCCTGCATATCCAGGCCCTATTAATTTCCCTATTAAGCCCAAGTGACATAATAGAATTGGAAACCTGCAAAGGACTTGCAACCAAACACAGGGTTGATTCCTGCAGGCACACTGTAACTCTGCAGGTGGAGCCAAAAGAAAGTCACAGTGGCATTCACCCTGGCTGACTAATGCAGATCAGTTGCTGATAATGGTCAACTGCTGTTTCATCCCCGCACTTTTCCACACAACATGCCTGATGCCATAATGTCAGCCACATCAGGCAAGGTGCCCGGCAAAACTCACCAACATCGTTCTGTTAAGCGTCCTCGTCAATCAAGCAGACAACAGAACACCTTCAATGGAATAGCATGTGCTAGGTTTCAATCTACACTGCCCACAGTCATCAACATGTGCCTGGACACTGCTTCTGCACCATTCAGGTGTGGTGGGAGCAGTTCATGTGCACATCTTGTGGTTTGAAACTCCATGAACTACATTGTTGAAAAGCCATAACCCAAAGCCACAGCAAAGCCCTTGAACCTTGTGCACTTTAACATAACATCCAATGACGTGCACATTAACATCCTATATATGACCATGATTCCACACAACAGTCATTTGCAAAACATAAACCCATGTGAGCACCACCAAACAAACCATTACCCCTTGCACAATGTGCAATGGAGTGGTGTGCAGAACTATGGCTTTGGGCCACCAAAAAGAGCGCTGAATAGGACTTTCTGCAGCAGTTGTTGCCTGAAGTGTTGTTTGTGGGATAGTCACAGTTGTATTTAGTAGAATTTCTAGTCCAAAGCATAAATTTTCGTTCCCATAGTGTTGTCATTCCCTTCCTCCACCCAATAGCCTGAGGACAGGCCACAAGTCTTGCAGGAGTACAAGCATAACCATAATCACCCGTGCAATTTCATTGGTTGCAGCTCCAGAAGGTAAACTCGTCACTTGCAGATTGAGATAGCCACTTGTAATACACAGATTTGGTTGCACTTCCGTGGCCACATTTAGGGAAGTTTGGGGAGAATTTTGGATGATCTTTTAGGATGATCACTTGAAAGAGGATTGGGATGGCCTTGCAGGCTCTGGAGAAATTGTAGATTTCAAGATTCGGTGCCCTTGCATGCCGCGCAGTCAAGTGCAATTCATGACAGTTCCAAAAGACACAAACACTCACAGATTCAGGTTGTAGGCGTGGGCCAGGAGGTGCAGCGCGTGCGGCCAGTTGAGGAGGGGCTGGGGGTCCTGCGACTGGAGAGGCGGAGACAATCTGCTTTGAGTGCATGCGCCAAATCCAAAACAAACATCGCCATTCCGCTCGCAAGGCGTTTCTCAAACTGAAAGGCGGGAGGAGGGGGGGATTAACAACAGCGACCCTGCGATGCAGCCGCCCCACGAGGCGGTTGCGAGTCGACCCTGCCAACCTGGATCTCGATGTCGTCCAGCACACCGGCCACTTGATCCAGCCGTCCTGACTCGAGGACGGACCGCAGGCGAACCTCCTCCTCCTCGATCATAGTGGCGCTGGTGGGGGCCTCCTGGAGACTCGGGGAGCAGGGGCAGGGGCCGATACGGCCCTGGCGCGCAAGGGGGGTCGGGGGTTCCCGCGATGGCACCCGCAGCGAAGCGCTCCAAGCGGATACATTACACACAAATGCATACATAATGTACTGTGTTTCGCAGTGCGCCATTCTCGCCACAGGCCAAAGTACGTGGCGCCTGTTTGTGAGGAACTGGAGTGGGGGAACCACCCAGGATGTGGCTCGCTGTGGCTGGCTGTATTGGAGGCCAAGGGATGGAGAATCCCAGGATCCGTGGCAGCCAATCGGTGGCACGCACCTGCTATCGCGTCTTTTGTTTTATTCCAAAATATTGCGTGATATTTGAGTGTCCAAGTGCCTCCCCCGTCACACCACAGGAAGTTTCACACTCTGAAAGCAAGTGTGAATCGTGGGAAAATCATCCAGACCGCCTTTTTCTGTGTATGTCGAACGCAAGAAACGAATGGGGTAGCTGAAGGAGATCGTCGTCCAGCTTTCCACATTTTTAAACGAATGCAACTTCGAGAATTTGGACAATGACGAGCGTCGCACGAACTTCCCATGATCCCTAATGGCAAGGTCATGAAGTCCATGCGTCAGACCTGTGGACTCGCAAATTGCACGCAAATGTAAGTGCAACGCGCTCGGCTGTCGTCACTCTTCCGAAAGGAATGCTGCAGATGTTGCTGCGCACGTGCACGCAAATTCGTGACCAACTACACTTGATCAAGGACTGCTACGCATGCCCACGTTTGGTGAGCGGCGCACCTGATCGGACCAAGCATGTCTATGGCAGAAGACAGGAATTGCATCAGCGGGCTTGGAATGCAGCAACATCACTTGTTTCCTGTGTTCGTGTTTTACAGGCAAATCGGCAGCCGCCGTGTCCCAGTGTTGCCCGAGGATTTCGACTGCAAACCGCTGCTGGTGGACTACTGATATTGGTACATTTTATGTGATGAATTCTGTAATGCTCATAATACACAGTACTTTTGCCGTAATAGATTGATGGCGACGTCGGTCAACTGGTGAATTCGCCGAAGTGCTGGATGTGGCGTTTGGCAGCTCTCCTTCGTGGGGGTGGATTCGCCTCATCCCGAGATGCCTCCCACAGTGGCAAGTGCAGCTGCCCAGTCCAGTTCCTGGGCTGCAGTCCTGTCGTCCTCTCGCCAGCGCTGCCTAACGCCTGAAATGGCGCCTGCGTAGGCGCAGATGTGGCCCTGTAGCGGACACGGAACTTGGAGTGCATTGCAGGGGCGGAATTTGCGCGTTGGGATATCTGCGAAGTTCCGAACCGCTGAGAGGTGGCGGAGTGTGTGGATGATGATGTTCCGGGGCGGGGTGGGATATTTGAAGAACGGCCGCTGTGCAGTGCCTCCAGCCGCAGGCGCGAAAGTTTGATGGGAGAGTGAGCTGCTTCAGAGCATTGTAAGTTGAGGTAATTAGGATGGCGGTCTACAGGACAGGGAGCGCGCAAGGAGCGAGATCGATCATCTGCTGGATGACGAACTGCGCGAGTGGGTGAGAGGGAATCCCAGCTGGCCCCTTGCATTTCCCTAGGCGCAACCATCAGACTTTGATGAAAGATAGAAAACACAAGTGGCAACAGAGACTCGATTCAAGTGTTTGTACCCGGGCGCCCACAGCGCTTTCACCAAAAAGATCTTGCAACCTCGTGCGATGAAATTTTTGCAGCATACCGGTGTGCATAGGATGTGCAATAAAACTGCTGATGCATGCACTTGGCTCCGACAATGTAATTGAGCAAACAACAGACTGGTGCAAAAATTTTCCTGCACTACTGCAAGGATGTTTGTATACACTTATGAGCAGTTGCACAATGCCCCATACCGTCTACAAAGGGGTTTGATCCACAGCAATGCTAGCTCCGATAATCTGCATGTACTGTCATTTGCACGAACAGAAATACAAATGCACGAATTTTCACGACAAAAGCAGCGCACTGTTTTCCTGGCTGAAACTATAAAATTGGCTGAATCAGAAGGTAAATGATAATCGGCGCTCTGAAAAATAGGAATTTACATGGGAAAAATGAATTGCCAAAATCGTTCCCAAGCGACAGTGACCTTCTGCATGTGCACCAACAGATTCGGGGATGGAAGCAATTGCCCTCTGTTAGAGGGGATTCAAATGCAGCCGCTTGCGAGCGCATTGCGGATGCAAGCACTATCGAATCTGCAACAGGCCAAGACTCCAGAGACAGAGAAGCGGGCGCCGCCACGACAGAATGCTCGAAGCTCATTCTGACCATGGAAAGGCCGCAAGATTTCGAGTGCCGTCATGGAAACCATGCCACCCAGTCTGTTCAAACAATCAATGCAGCATTCACAGAGGTTCCTACTGGAAGATCCACAAACCCAGCCGTCTCTCCTTGTGTCTGCAAATGCGCCCATCTACAAAACTCTCACGCGATTTCAACTGAACGCGGAGACGTAGTCCAGGCAATGAAGGTTTCTCCTGGCAGAGCCCGCTCCAGTGGAATGTACGAGACAGGACGACCGACATCAGCAGCAATCTCGCGGTCAGTTCCCGTCATTTGATGATTATCAACCAGTTTAAATGAACGGAACTATCATCAATTTCACATATTGCCACTCAAACGGTCCTACGATGTCTTTACGACAGGATTTTCAGAGCGAAACTCGACTTTTGTGATGTTTAGTTCCTTTCATCATGTGCATGATAGAAGAATGTTTTATCGTGTACATGATCGAGCATGTTCTATCAGCTTTTGTTGTTCACATATATGTACTTCCATTGTATTCACCTGGACATAAGTAGATTGCCTTGCATTTTACTCATGCAAAGCCATTGGTTTGTGCTCAAGAACCTTGCAGCGAGAGTAACCAAAGGTAATTTTGAGGTCAAGAATTTTTTGTGCGGTGTTTTATCTTCCAGAACAGTACATTGCATTGAAAATAATCGGGCGCTGCTCTGTTGCTGACAGAAAAGATGCAGACATCGTTCCATGTTGCAATATGTCCATTGAATTTGGCTTTGGCAACATCTGGACATTTTTCTCAGTCGTACGTAGCCCCAACTATAACCAGTAAATGAAGCGCGTGATTTGATGGTGGGATGTTCAATTATGCTTTTTGACACCTCAAGGAACATCGACTTATTTGTAACAACAAGCAATGCCGCCTTTCCAGCCAAGTGGCGAAATCCAGACCAGTAGGGACCCCAGCAAGGAGAGCCCCCATGGTTGCGCATGCCGGCATCGTGGAAGATGCTCTTTGCAATGATCTGAGAGCCGCTACCAACAGTTTGTGTCGTGTGGAGCCGGTGGCAGCGAGACTCGGGCGTCCGCGTTTGCATTCAGCCATAGACAGGTATGGCCTGGCGCGGGGGCAATCTTTCTCCTCCTCTACAGCTGACGCTGTCTGCTCGTTGGAGTTCAGTTCAGGTGGAGCGCCAAGATCACCACATTACTAACAGCATAAAGCTAATCTCCACGTACCAGTGCTCAAGAGAGAACGCACTTTTCAAGTCTGGTGCATGCATTGCTTGCAACAGCGCATGTCAGGTGCGAGAAATGGGTGAAAGGTACAAGAGGCAGTGGGGAACTTAAAGTGAATTTCCCATTCCTTCTGGTACCTTGCACCTCCGGAAATTTGCATTGGGCACACCAACATTGTTTCTGTGGCTTCCATGTTCATTAAAGGAATAAATACATGGGGAAGGTTCCTGTGTGCACGTGATCCATACAGCGTTTGCCCGATTCCCCAACACATACAAATTACATCGGATGTCCTGTGTACAAGCGTCATAAATGCTACAATAAGGGAATTCTCTTGTGCCAATACGATACCACTGCAGAGCTTTATGTGCTGCTTTCCTATGCCCCAATCTATTGCCAATTTCCAGTCGAAGTAGCCGAATTCTCAAACACCATTGGGGCGTTGTGGAGGCACAAAAGAATGCAAAGTTGGGTATATTCACAGGTCATCGGTTCCTATTTGCCGACCTGTTGGTTTCATGGAATATTGCTCATCCTCAGAGCCGCGTGCCTTACCAAACAACCAACTTTTCATGCTTGAGCTAAAGAACCGCGCCCATCAACTCCAGCTTCATGGTAAAATGAAAGAGAAGAGTCACCGCCCAGCATCGGTAGACAGGCCAAAACACCGATACTATTTTCTCACATTGGGTTACGTTACCCCATTGAGACGATCTCTCCACTTCTATTATTTTATGTGCTGAAGATGAAGAGCGCCATATCCAGTGCTAATGCATCCGGCGCATCTGGTGTTTTGGGGGTCTACTTGAACATCAACCAGATTGCGACGGACACACAGTAATTTCTGTCTTGATGACTCGTGCTGTTTGTCATTCCATTCGGGCCACTCGGTCCAAACCAACATAAATCCAACACTATCTGCAGATCTGCCTCCGAAGCAATCCTTTCACCGACGACGCACCAAGGCCGACCATGGACAGCGGCGCCCTCGGCAAAATGCCATGACTTTTACAGGCAAGGGAAATCTGCGCTCTTCGTTTTCGCGACGCAATTCTGCGCGCACAAATGGGTTTCAAATGCACACGAGCGTCATATGACGCTCTGCACAGGCCATAACGGCGTTCGAGGATCGGCGCTCACTGCTTCCTTCTCGGTGTTGCGCAAGTCTGCGAACCTGGCCGCAGGCGGCAGTCCCCGCGCCAAGTCATGGGTCACGGCGCTGAACAACCACCAACGTGATCTTGTATGCGCAGCGGTCGTGGTGCAGCGTGCCGTTAGCAAATGGGTAATCCAATTTCAGGAAAAATTCCATGAACACTGGCACCAGAGAACGCGCAACGCAGACATCGGGCTTGATTCACTTCTGGGCACACATCTGGGCACATTCATGCGCATCCATGCGGCACAGCTGTTTCTCACAGGGATACTCACCCCCCCGCCACTAGTGGCGGTCTCCAAAGGGCTCCAGAACATTCGGCCCGCTGGTGACGCAAAACAATTCCCTGGGTCTGGAAGAGTGCTATTCCTGCACTAAAAGCATCCGAATGCAGAATCGCAACTTGTGCTGTCTCAGGAAGGATCCTTCTGACGTCACGCTCTGGAAGTCTACTGCGCATGTGCGGCTGGCCACGGACATCCCATGCACCCTGAGGTCTGCACGCACCCAAGGGCACAATGGGTCGGATGCCCTGTGACGGCATTCGGGAATGCTCCAGCAATGCCGGAGCACGCCGGACCTGCAACGGCACTCTCAAAGACAGCAACTGTGCAGCAGACGCATGTGTCAACTATCCGGGCGCAGTTCCTACCTGACAGCGGATACTCGCATCCTTTGAGGCCCCCCCTTGCCGTGCACAAATGCGCTGCTTCGCGTTACCTAGGAAACGAAAGTCCGACTCTGTCATTTGCGACTCAGCACCCTTTCTCGTATCACTGTCGCTGATGCCCACTAACGCGGCGCGCTGTCGCCGCGCGCACTTCAGAAGTAGCAGTTTCTTGTTGTGGTTCGCGTTCGCTGTCTGCAATGCCAATGAGCAGGGTGGACCACAACTGTGGCCCGTCGTGCAAGATGGGCGCCCTGAAAGGTGAGAATACACTGAACTTGCTAGCCTGCCGTGGATGTGAGTCTCCACGCGGGCACCAAGAACACACCTTGCCCTGGCGTCACCCCCTCCCGGTCCTCATAGGTGGGAGATCGTACTCGCATGTACGCCGTACGTATACATCACTGGTGGAAAATAGCACGTCTGCGATGCCAACTGCGATGCTATTTTGACACAAAATGATGCCGCCACAGTGAATGCGATGGCATAGAAGTGGCTGTGGTGGCATCAATTTGTGTCAAATGGTGTTGCAATTGGCATCGGAAACGGGCTGTTTTCTACTGGTGCATGTAGCAGCATGTAGGTTGAATGAGCCATTTGCGGGAATGCATGCTCCCATGGACATACGGAGCAGGGCGGCATGGGGTTCCCTCCTTCGACACCTTGTCGACGCCACCGTCGGCAGTTGCGTCCGACGTGCGGCAGCAATTCGCGGTTCCAGCGATTGCAAATCAAATAATGCGTCAGTAGAAGGTCAGACCTTCAAAGTGGCAAGGGAAAGCACTATGTCGAAATTGTTACGCTTAGTGTCAATTTGACGCTCGGGGTGGGTGGGTTGGAGGGGGGGGGGCAGACCTGTGACACTAAAAGATTATGTAATTGCAACAAAATCGACACAAGCTTGGAAGATACCCAAAAAGCTGCTGAAAGCCAGCAATAAACGCATGACTTGCCTCAAAACATCCCTTTGGCTTTCAGTCGTTACAGAAGGCTCCATAAAATCTCGATTGGCGGCCTTCAAAACTTTCCCCCCTCATCTGCTATGGCATATTGCCTCTCAGTTTTGAGCCTACCAAAATTGCTGCAGTTTTGGCTGTTTTTCTTTCTTCAAAACATAATAAATTGGCAACACACCATTATGTAATGATGCTGAGTCATCCTGGCTTCGACACAAGGATTGACGCCAAGGGGGGCCGGGGGGTCTGAGCTTAACGTCAAATTGACGCCAAGCGCAACAAAATCGACATAGCCTCTGACCCAACAGCGACGCAACGGTCAGGCGACGACACTCCGTAGCCGACGATGCGGAGATCCACCGTCAGCACAACGATCCACCGACGTGTCCGCCACCCCTCGCTGCTGCTGGGTCTAAAGAGCTCTGGCGCCAATGTGCAAGAGGTGGCCTGGTCCCTGCTGGAACCGGGAGTTCAGTGGGAACGCCCGCAGAGGCCCTCGAAGCCATGGCAGCATTCCCATTCTGGCATCCCCTGCCACAGCGCTCCAAACACGCGCATCCGCCCGTGCGCAACCATGCAGGCAGATCGGCGCAGCTGTGCAGAACAAAAGCGGACCGGGAACCAAAACGAGCGTCCAGAAAGCGGGGTCGAGATACTTGGCGTCTGTCTGGACTCCAGCTGGCGGGCAGTTTCCAAACGGGCAGACTATCTTCCCCTGCCAACGCGATCACCGCCCGGCCACTGCGGTCAGCGCCCTCCGGGTTTCGGCACCAAAAGGGCCACGGAACCGCACAGCTACACACCTTGGCCGAACCTGGTCCCAGCTGCCCCAACACCGAGGAGCCTGGGCGCGTCGGTCAAACGCTGCGCCCTGATGCGCCAGCATGACGATTTCCGATTGTCGTCGTCGTCAACATCTGGGCCCCTATGTAAGGGGCGCGCCCACAGGGGGCCCCACGTGCGCGAAACAGTGCGACTTGGGGGAGGGAGGCCAAGTTGAACGCCCCGGCGCGCGGTGACCGCTACAAGGCTTTCCGGCAGGCCTCGACCGGGATCCTCCGCCTGGCGCCGGCTCTTGGACGCGGGCGGCAGAGGGGAGGGGGCCGATTTCGTGGGGAGGGGCGATTTTCGGGCTGCGTCCAGATTGCGTGATGAACGGCGCCGACATCGAGGCCCCCCCCGGCCGGACGCGCTGCTTCAGCGAGGAGCTGGACGGCGCCACGGTGCACTTCCAAGTGATCGACCTGGGGCGGCAGCTCTACGTGTGGGTGTCCGCGGCGGGCCCAAAGCTGGGCAACCTTTACGCCACCGGCAGCCCGGACGTGAGTGCCGCCCCGCGCCGGTGGGCGCGCAACGCGAGCTGCCGCGCCGGCGGGGCTGTCGCGCGCCTGGGGACGGGGTCCTGAGATCTGTGCTGCCCTGGCCAGGCCGGTATGCCGCCCGTGTCCGCGCTGATCGCTGGAGGGCCCGGGTGCGAGACGGAGGGCATGGCGCAGAGGCTCGGTGAGGCCCGGGGAGGGGGGGGGGAGGGTGCGACTGTTGCTGTCCGGGAGTCGCGAAGGCCGCGGCGGGCGCGCCCGCGGCGGCATCGCGGCATCCGCCCCTCGACGAGGTCCTGACCGGGCAGATCTGTTTCTGGCAGCCGCGAGGTTCGACCGGCCCGTCGTCTGCTCGTTCAACGAGCTGCCCAACGCCCCTCACCTGCAGGTGAGGCGATCCCGCCGTCGCACGCCGGCGCTGTTCGCCTTCCCGCTTTGCGACCTCCGACGCGGGCTGGGCGCGCTCGATTGCTCCGCGAGGAGTGAGCGCGGGGCTTCGACTCGGTCCCAGCCCAAGGGCGATCTGTACAGCCTCCTGCGCGCTCCCGGAGATATGGCCGCCCCTGGCTGTCCAGAAATCCCGAACGACCTGCAGAGGGCCGCCCGGCGCAGTTCAGAATCTGGCAATGGGACTGGCAGGGCTAATCTTAGCTTCCGGCGCATGTGGGCGGGCGAACACCGAGATTTACGGGGCACCAGATGGACCGCGACGCCTGTGTTTGCGAAGAGAGGGATGGACTGTGCCGCTTGGCAGCGTCCGCTGAGGTGTCGAAAGCGCGACTGGGCGACCCACGTTGGTCGCTCTTCGTGATCTGTTGCGCTGCGTGTGGGCAGGAAGCCATAATGGTGCGGCTACTTGGAGAGATCGACGATCTGCTGAAAACTTGAACGCAAACACCCACTCCGGCAGGACCCTGCTGAGAATCTGCGTGAAGACAGCTTGTGCCCTCTTCCTGGTCTTTCTACGGTGGCAAACCCCGAGACAACAATCCCTGTTCCCAGTGGTTTCTAGGGGCCCCAAGGTCCCAAAGGTCTGACTGTGGAGCCAGCATGGTGTGACACTAAGCCAGGGGTCAATCTTGTGCAACAGTAGAGGTGACTATGGAGTCGATCTCTGGTGGCCCTAATGCCAGTCATTCACGTTACAACTGGGATGCACGATGCCAAGCGATGGTGTTCTGGAACCATCAGCACAGGCTCTGGACTTCTGTGAGCCTTGCTTACTTATGCTTGCTGCTGGAGATTGGAGGGTGTATAGTATCATGACGGCACAGCGACCAGACACTGTGTACACCTAGCTACTGGCCAGATGCGCCACTGTATAAAAGAATTGCCAGTTCAACAACTGTTTGCAATTTGTAACATACTGCTGTGGATGTTTGGCTCATTCCTTGTCTGCACTTCTTTGGGAGTGTGTACCAAAGCTGGGATTGTGGCGCTTCGGGACAACTGGGGCTCAATCTTCATCCCAGCAGGGACAAGAGTCCAAATCCCTTCTTGTAACAGTAATGGATACAACTCTATTTGGTGCAACACAGAGACAACAACATACGAAAAACTCCTGCAGCACAGCCACAGAAGATTTGGCTCAGTGCCTCCATCACAGCCATTTTCAGACAATTTCAGATGGCGCAAAACAAGGGACACAGCTATGGAACAGGAAATGCATGTTCTATTTCCAAAAGGTGCTGTGCACCAACTGGATGTGGCAGGGTCAAACACAGCCCACTATGTTCCTACTCCTTGGGTGCTCAAGTTGGCTCGACTGTGAACATGCACATGCAGACGCTGCTGCACCTAGGCCACATGAACTGCAGCAATCTGATGTATTATGAAGAAAAAATCTTGAATTGAAGCTGCTATCAGTGCAGCCACATCCTGCAAGTATCCCAGAACATATCCAGTGCATGCTGGCAACAGGCATTGTGCCCAGCGGCTTGATGCATCACAAACCCGATTAGCACTGCACGCATAGTACAAACGTTCCAGAAGAAGCCCTGCAGTTGCCTGAGGCAACTTCCATTCACACTATTTGTATATCTCTATATATGGCGCCCATTCGTTGGATGAACCCAAAAGATGAGGGCCGCAGTTTCATTAGAGTGTGCACTGTCTACCTTGCGATGCAGGGCTGGGCTTGGAGATACACAGGGTTATTTTTGGTCGCCTGACGTCTTCCCCCGTCACGTGGATTCCCCTTAACCCCCAACTTACGGCGTCTCGCCCAGTGATATTCCCCACGTGGCGTCACACGACCCCAGATACTTGTGGGAGTCTTTCACACCTTGCGCTCGTCAGCCTGAAAGGCTTCCTCCATGATGGGGCGGTACCTTAATCATGCCCTCTTGGAAGCAGCGTGCGCTCAATGCCGGCCACTTCCCTTAAGATGTCTCTTGGAAATGAACTTTTGGTACAGGGCTCCGAACACAAGAATGGTGCCAAGCCTTCGAGAACAACAAAAGGGGCAACCAGTGAAGTGGAAGAAATCGAAGATAGCAATAAAAGGTTCAAGGTTCGACCTGGCCAAACAGCACCAATGCAACAGCAAAAAAACACAGGTGGGGTTTTTGCAAAGTGCATCGCTCTCAACATCCCCAGCATTGCAATGGGACACAAGGCAAAAAGAGAAAGATTGTGCAGCTACTGAAAACATGTATGAGAGCCCTCAAAGGTGTCGATCCAATATTATCCAGGCAAGAGGTGTTTGATGGTCTTCCACAGCACCACTGCACTGCTCGATTCTTGAACAAACAACACAACTTTACACAATGAGCTTCGTCCTCCACCCGGATAACAATCGAGACACCAAGAGTTGGCGCGGAAAGCGTTAGAGGCATCTCAGCTTAAATGGCAGTGGACAGAAGCGAACTGCTTAAAGCCAGGACGGCGTGCAGGGGCTGCGCTCACCATTGTCCCATCGACAGGGGGTGAGCAAACACCAGGCAGGACAGCAGGATGGAGAACCACTGGCGTGTCGTCATGACGGTGGCGAACACCAGCGCCCCGTAGCTCTTTATCGTGTGCGACACGAAGAACTGCACGGCCGCGGAGGCGATCGATATGCCGCCGATCCACGCCCACGCCTCGGGGTACTCCGACACAAAGCTGATGGATGGGAACAGACGGCCGGTGCCTACCAGGCCCACCACGCTCAGCCCGATGGACCACAGCGACGTGTACAGCACCTGGTTGCACAGGCTCATCTCGTACCCCGAGAACAGCTTGTCCTGCCAGGTGGACGTGAAACCGTCCACCAGCAGGTACAGGCTCAGCACCAGGCCGCCCAGGACGTAAACCACCTGGAGCTCCCCGGGGGGAGTCCCAGGGCCCTCGGACGCCACCGGGCCCGTGAGCAGGAACGTGGCGCACCCCACCGCCACCAGCGCCGCCTGCAGGTACTCCTCCAGGCCGTAGCTCTTGCCCCCGATGGCCGTTTGCCACACCATGACGGGGATCATCTTGGTGCACTTGGTCACGACTTGGACCGGGAACGAGACGTACTTGAGCGCCTCGTACTGGCACATCGACGCCACGACATTCGCCAGGCTGACCGCCCCGTAGCCGATCAGGGGCGCCGTGGGCGCGAGGTCCCTGCGCGGCCTGAAGCACGTCCAGGCCAGCGCCATGAGCGCGGCCACCACCCGGTTGCACAGCACCAGGAACAGGGAGTGGCGGAAGAGCGCCCCGCGCGGACCGAAGGGCACGGTCATGATGCGCTCCTGCAAGACGCCGTAGATGATAAGCGAGCCGGACAGGCCCACCACGGAGGCCACTGCAGCCAGGGCGTCCCAGGACAGCAGGGGGGGGCCGGCCAGGTCGGCGCCAGCCCCGCGCTTGTGCACCACCACGCGCGAGAAGAGGGCATCAGCACGCGGCGTGGGGATGGCGTCCTGACCCCCCGCCAGTGGGCTCTTGGGCACCCTGGCGCTCGTCGGCGTGTCCTCGGCGTCGATTGGGAGGGAGGTAGCGCCTGGGGGCTGGGATGCGAGCGGGGACGAGTCCGCGGTCATCGGGCGGGGCACAATGCGGTCGGGGTAAGGTCGCCTCTTCGCCTCACCCCCCTGAGTTCGTGCCCCTGGGCGCCCTGGGCTGGACCCACCCACGCTGGGCTCGACCCCCCTGCGGATTTGTCGTTTTGGACCGGCCTTGGGCAAACATCGACGCGCACACGCGCATCGACAGGGGGGCTCAGGTAAGCGGGGGGTTGATGATCTGGCCCGACATTGGGCCGATTGGGGGACCAAGTTTCACCCACCGTAGTAAACCAACAGCGTCCCCGCTCCTGCTCCTCGGCAGCCTCATGCATTCCCCCCAGTGTCGCTGTGTTGGTGTACTACTGTGGGCGAACAACGGCATCGACTACCACTTGGCGACAACGCAATGGCAATGTCCCGTCAGTCAATCGATGCGATGAAATGAAATTGGGCGCGGCCCAGCACCACCGACTTCTGAGCAGCTACCTGGGGTTTGTGAGGCTCAAAGTGGTACATTGGACGAGGGCCAATACAATACGGATCTGCTGTTTTTCACTGCCCAGCAGTTTTCTTATGCCTTATTTTCCCTGGCATTCTCATTCGCGAGGTGCAAAATTCCCAATTTTGGAGCAGTTTAAAGTCAACCTCGAATCTTGTGTTGAAGAACACTGTTGGTGTGCACAGGTAGGAGTTTAAATTGTTTCGGTCACTCGAAAGGGGACCTCCTGGCATGCTTCTGACCAACGCAGCCTGCAGCGGAACTGTACAAGAACTGCTCGACACTGAAAAACGAAGTTACGCTCACGGTGCAATCGTGCTTTGTTTGTTGTCAGCGCTTGAGACGTAGTCCAACGAGTAGTGGTACGTTCCAACCTACTGCGGCTGCCATGCCGAATCGTGCATGCAGGCTGGTTGGGAGCTAAGTCTGGAGGGCACAGAATTGCTCAAATCAGCACTGAATACTCGCTGACTGTAGAATGGTGGAATTTTGCAAAGGTCAGCTGCGCATGCCTAAAACCCAATTTCCCCCACCCAACACACCCACCGCCACACGAAAGAAATAAACCAAGCACAGCAGCGCACAGCGGTAGTGCTGATCCGACGAGCGCCAATCAAAGCGAGCGTATCGTACAATTAGGTGAGTCGAGGTTCTTGCTGCACGCCTTGAACACTGGGGCCAAAAGGGGGCTCGCTGAAAGGATTCGGTGAACCATCCTCCATGCACATGCCCGTAGATGATTCAGCTTGCATTTGTCCCACTGATTCGGGGTAGACAGCAGCAGCGCCGCAAGCGCACAGGGTGCAGTGGTAGGGTGGTGGGGGACGGCTGGGTCGTGTGGGGGGGTGGGTGGAGGTCAACCATACCCCATGGCAACTTGTGAGGAGAGCAGGCATTGCGGGTCCACTGGCTGGCAGTTGCCCAGCTGGTGAGTCACAGGAAACGCGCTGTAGCGCCAAGTGCGCACACGAGAAAGCTGTTGGTCTTGTTGTCCGCGCACTGGGTGATTGCCACACATGCTCCCAGCTGTGCCCACATGTACCTCAAATGGAGCCGTCCACAGGCGGTTGCGACCCACCAAATGGGCGGTCGGGGAAGGCATGGGGCGCTCAATACTGCCATCGCAGCACCACCAAGTGCAGCACAACTCAAATGAAGCTGGCCTTACATCCCACAGCAACTCCATACACAATCTCTCTTCCACCAATCCCGGAGTCCCGGACACATTCATTGTTTGTCCTGGTGCAGCGGCACACACCGGTGCCAGGCGATCCAACCCTCCACTCCACACAGAGAATCGCTTGCCAAACGCCAGCTCGCGGTCCCTCTCATTCTCCACTTGGCGAAGCAGGCGGACAAGGAAACGAGCCACACATCCCTGCAAGTGGGCCAGTCCAGCCCTTGACGAATCAGCACCCGTCCTGTCGTCTTATTGGCATTCAGGTGCCTCACTGCGACCTGTGCGGGTTGAAGCAAGACCTCTGGCACATTCTACCTGTACCGCCTTTCATTCCCTCCACCAGATTGACTGTCTTTCAGACACCAGAATCGATCCATGGCCTCATCACGTTTGTAAAACAAATGCAGAAAAGAACCCACCGGTGTTTGTTGTCAGCTGCTCTATTTTCCTTGGTCCCCAGGCGCCACGCCTGGCCCCTTGGACACGACACACCTGTCGTTTTCCTGCAAACCAATCACCTAGGAGAACCCCACCAAGGGGGGCTCCAAAAGACACCAAAGAATAGCACTTATGAAACGTCCCCAATACAGTCACTCCCTAACAAATGCAAAATTTTGCCGACCAGCGAGTGTATAAGCAGCAGGTGACGCCACCTCATCCTGTGAGGTATCCCCAGAAAAAAAAGTATGCTCCAAACCCAATGACGTGGCTGCCAGTACTTCAGTGCGGCCACAACAGATCCCAGCAAAAACTGATACACATACACACCAGCCCTGCACTGCTCGGGCACCGTTCCCCTGGCGCCCAGGCCGTCTCACAGGGACACCACCAGGCACCTGAGCGCCACGTCCCTGTCCAGAGTCTTCACACTATGGCCATTCTTTGCAAGCCGCCAGTGCAGGAAGTTTTCAGGGTCGATCTTCAGGTCTGTGAAGCAGCACATGAACCCCAGCTTGCGCAGGCCCTCCTTGATGTAGTGCTGGATCTCCTGGGACAGATGCGCACTTTCGTACATCTTCTCGAAGTCCCTCCAACTGCCTGACTCGGTGTTCCCGTTGGTGGCACGCAGGACATCGATCATGCGGCCGGTCACACTGTCAAACAGGTGGCACACATAGGGCTGGAGCACCTTGGAGCGACCCCCGTCGCGGCCCCACGTGAGGATGAACACCGCCTTGTCGAAGAAACGCTTTTCGTGCAGGCACCTGTCCAACAGGCCCACCACATCCAGCACGGCGTCGTCAACCATGGTTGCCGTCTCCTCCCATGTGTTCTCAGCACGGTGGGCCCCATTGATCAGGGCCACCGACTGCGAGGGGGGCGCGCTGGTGTAGGCAGAGCCCTGGAACCCGCCCAGCCTTGTCTGTGGGGCGGCCACGGGACGCATTGTCCCGCACGCCTGGTCCTGTGCCCTGTCCTGGCCCCCGTTGTACAGGGAGCTCACGCTCGTGTCAATGCGCGGGAAAGTCCTGGGGTCCATCGCAGAACGGGGGGCGCACACCTCCTCCGACATCCTCCTTTCAGTGGAGTCTGGTGTCTCGGGCCTGTGGAACTGTATTTGCATCTCTTTCAGCTGGCTGGGGAGCACAACAGCAACCAAATCGTCAGAAATGGCACCAGATCTGCGCGCCACGGGCACCAACGGGAAGGGAACTTCCAAGCGCGGAGGCTGCGTCGCCCTCTAGAGGTTCTAGTTTTGGCTGGGACGGGTATCCTGCGCTCAGCGCACGCGCCAGGCGAGTCCCAACGGGCCGGACCTGTCCAAGCCACCAACAGATCGGGAGGGCCGGCCGACGCCACGGCAATCCAGGAGTGGCGGAACTGACGTCCCCGGCGAGCCACAGCAACGGTGTCAGGGGCATGATAAGTGATCAATCCAAGGTAAGTGACCATGGCAAGGCAAGTGACCAAGGCAAGGCACGCGACCAAGGCAGGGCGAGTGACCAAGGCGAGGCAAGTGACCAAGGCACGGCGAACCTTCCGGACTGGGCAATTGCACGGAATTGGGCAACATCGCAGCCTGGCGCAGTCTGCCGCCGCGTGCAGCTCAATGGCGGCTTTGCAAACCCGCGATCGATCAAGTCCGCACGCGTCCCCCGTCTCCGACGACTTCTGGGGACGAGCCCAACCGAGATCCAAAGGGGGAGGCACGCCGGTGGCGTCACTCGGTTCTCCGGCGCAATAGCGTTTTCACACAAATTTTTCACACAAATGGCGCCGGGGGGCCGTTTTCCCGCGTGGTCCCGCCCCGCACGGCAACGGCCCACCCGATGGAGACGCCGCACCCCGAGGGGGGACGCGACTGACAAAAGGCCGATTCGCAGAAATGCCAAGAAACGTCGCGGGCCTCGTCTGCCACCGCTGCGGGCGCTGCTCCGGCAATCTCCGCCGCAATCCGGGAAGTGGCTCCGCGTCCGGAGATGGGCTCAATCCCCACGCCAACGGGCCCACAGGGTCCCGCGCCACAGCGCTTTCTCCACAACGGTACGACAAAACACTTCTCCAACGCAGGCTTGTGAATGGCGCGCAGTGCGCCGGGGCCCGCACCGCGGATATTACCCCCGCCCCGGGGAGGTCGATCCAACCCACCGGGCGGCCCTCGACAAGATCGCGCGAATTTCCTTCCCCGCAGAAGACGTCAAAGGCTGGCTATTCTGCGGGCACCGGCAGTGCCACCCACGCCGCCAGACTAGGAAGCGGAGGACATGGGCCACCCCGCCGCGCCGCGGGCCGGGCGGTCCACGCCGGCCCCGGCAACGCCGCCATGGACCGCAGGCTGGACACAGCACGCTCAGGTGGGGACGTGCCGACAACTCGCGCCAGCCAGCACGGGCCGCCCCGATCAATGCGCGTGCGGACCACTCCAACCCCCGCCGCACTCACCTCATCCTTTCCAGCAGCCTCTTGAAGACCTTGGGGTGGCGGTCGACCGTGATGGGCGTCCCATCCTGGACGTTCTCCGCGTGGTTGGCCACCAGCCAAGACAGGTACGAGTCCGGCAGGTAGGTCACCGTGTCCAGGGGGGCCACGAACTCCCGCCCCCGCACCAGGAACCGCACCTGCGGGCAGGCCGAGTAGCCGAACTCCTCGTCCATGCCGCCCCTGGCGCCGCGGGGTGCGGGCTAGCCTCTCTGCGTCGGTGGGCTGGCCCCCGGCGGCGACTCACGCTACCCGTCCCGGCCCACATCAACGGGCGCTCTGCACCGCGCTCGGCCCACGCCCACCGATCGCTTGCGTGCGGCTGGCGGTTGTGGATCAACCGGGAGGGCTGTGGGCCTTTCCTAAGGTTAAAGTGGCGTGAGCGAGATATGATATCGCGCCTGACGGCCAACGCGGCCTGCCGTGGAGGCGCGGCCTGACAGGCCTGGGAGCGGAAAGCGGGGCGTGACGTTGTCCGGGGCAGCGCCGGCGGCTTTGCGGGCCGGCGGTTTCATGGATTGTGCCGGGATTTGCCGGGGCCGGGCGCCGGTCCGATGGTCCACCATCTAAAAGCGTTGCCGTGCCAAATATCTCGAAGTCATCCTTGAACAATATCTGGCCGTCGCCCTTGAAAAAGGCCGTCCGTGCTGTCACGTGGGCCACAGCCTAAATATGTGCCCTCTGGCGCCGTTCCAAACCATTGCGCCTCACGATACCGTTGTGTTTTTACGCAGAAGATATGGGCCCGACCCCATCAAGAGGCAGCGTGATTTTCAATGGGCCGGAGGGCGCATATTTAGCCAGTGGCGTCACGTGGCGTCGAGCCTTGGAAGACTTTGTTGTACTCATGTTCTTCGCCCTGCAGAAGCTGTTTGCAACTGTACTTCAGCCCCGCCTGCTGGTTCGTTCGGGTGTGGGTTTGGCTTGGTTGGGGTGGGGTGGGGTGGGGTGAGGCGGGGGAAGGCTTCTGTCTATGATGAATTCACGGCACAATTGGATGGCGTCTTTGGGACCGTGTGCGTGAAGCGTGGGCAGCTGACGCACCAGAGTAGGTGTCGTTGTAGCGTGGCCAGTTTTCTCAACGGGCATTGCGCAATCGAAGCTATACGATCTTTCTGCTGTTGGAATGGGCATGAACGGAGTCAAGGCGTTGCCTTTGTATCAGCGTTGTGAGCAAGGTCGAGGCCAGCCGTTCCCTTTCTGCTCCAGAGATGAGAATGACTGGACGCAAGCGTTGCAGCGGGGCGACTTGCCCTTCATGGCCTTCAAGGTGACGACTCAGGCATTGCACAATTGTAGGAAAGCGCACTGCAGGCATAACTTCGGTGCTCCCCTTTCAGTTTTGGCATTGGCGGAGACGACGCAAGCACAATCAAATGATCGTTCAGTCAGTGAGTCTTATATCTGATTGCAGCGCCAGGGCCGACTGCTCACAGACGCAGAAGAAAATAACGAATTGATAATCTACAATTGTAAAGCAGCTCAGCCTTTAGAAGACAGCGCTGTGAGGTGCTCGCGAAGTGACGATTTTCGTGCAGGATCTGCGCCCTTGGATTTCTCCTCCATTGCTGCCTTTATCTGTTTGGCACACACCGGCGCTGTCAGAAGCGTGATGAAGTTGTGAACACTATTGCAGGTTGAAGACCAACGACAAACAGGAGAACCAGATTCCCACACGTCCAGGAGTACCCCTCTGGCTTGCCAAGTCTTTGCTCAAGGGCCAAAGCATTTGCCACCGCAACAGGCAACACACGGAGACTCAACATGGCTTTGGGCTGTTGCGAGAGGTTAAAAGAAGAGGTTTCTGCTTCCAGGAGGTTTCCAGCAGACCACCAAATAGGATGCGGATGTCAGGGAAGAAATGCACATTTTGCCAAAGCAATACAGCGATTTTGGAGTTTGCAAGCCCATGCAGGCACAGACGGCTTCTGCAGCAAAATAAAAGATCCTATGCCCACAAATTGCAAGTGATACCGCTTATGGTTGAACCAAAATGCAGACATGTTTGCAAGGTTTGGGACACGCACATCTGTTACTGGGAGCACTGCAAGTAAGCAGAACTTCGATCCAGAGCATGTACAAAGTAAGCACGCAAAATGCATTCCAAAAGAAAGGCACATGACTGAAAGACACTCATGCTCAAGAGCAGCAGCTCGTCCACAGGCCCAAAACCACAGACGCTGCACAATAGAGTGCCTGTCATCGCCTTTCAGGAACCAGCGCAACTGTTCTTCACGTTTCTGTGCCACCTGCAAATCAATCGGATGAACAAACCAAACCATCGCAACAGGGGGAACAAACACACCATGAGTTTCCGCTTCCTGCGCTCCTCCTTCTGGGCTTCCCTCTTTGCCCTGATCCTCTCCAAGCGCCTCTGCCGCCGCAGCTTGTAGCCACTTCGCTCCCTGGCTGGATTGCTCTCACTTTGCGAGGCCTCACCACCGTCAACAGCCAGTGCATAGTTTCCCCAGCGGCCGTAATTCTGCCCTTTCAACTTGACAGGTCGGAGCAACCTCGGGGCATCGATGCACTCCTCGCAGCAGCAGCCCCTGTACTTGACCTTGCACTCCTTGCAAGCCACAAAGAGCTTGTTGCAGTCGATGTTGGCACAGTTCATGTGCGGGAGCTCTGCGGGACTAGAGCACAACTCACACGCCCTTGCTGCCTCAAGGGGCAACTCTTGCCCACCTGTGCAGCCAACAGAATGCATGTCTCAACAACCTGAAACAAATGAGCTCTTCGCAAGAGCAGCGAATGGCAACCGTTGGTGTCCCACAGCAGCAAAGGAAATATAACACACCAGCTGTACCCAGTCTAACCCCGATGCTTCCCAACGCTTCCAGTACCGAAAAACAAAGAAGCAAAAAAGAATACCTGACAACCAGCAACAATGAATGTACAAACAACAAAAGCACACATGCTTGGTGGCATGCCTGCTCGGCACAACAGCTGAGGGAAATTGGAGCTGCATGGGAGTACCAACGTAGCCCAAGGTCACCTGCTTGTTTTGCTGGAACTGCCATTCTCCCATCGAAAACAAAAAGACTTCCATTCCAGTACTCGTTGCCGGCCTCCTTGAAGTATTGCTGGATGCCACCCTCAAGAGTGTACAGATTTTTGAACCCTTTCTGGCGCAGAAATGTCGAATACACATCGCAGCGAATGCCACCCGTGCAGTACATCTGAACAAAACCAGACAATGGGCATCAATGGAAACTTTTCTACACCCAAACAAACTCATCCTCCACTACAGCTTTGTTCTCTGCTCTGGATGATACTGACATCTTCAATACTAAGTTCCTTTTCCCTAAGTTGCTCAAAATAGCATGCTTCTTCTGCCACCACTGGAGATTTTCAATTGCCTTCTTCATGAGAACACGTAATACATTGCTGAATGTCTCTAAATCAACAATCAACCAAGATAAAAACATATTATTAAGGTAACACAGAGTGCACATGTTCAGGGCCACAGCTTGCTCAGAATTTCCAGCTCTAGTCCGAGGCCAAAAGGCATGTTCGGATTCTACCACAATTGGGAGGTTTTGCAATCTATGTCGAGCTGACACAGTATTCATTACAATCATTATGGAGCAACATAAAGTCAGGTCACAAAGGGCTTTCTGATCAACAGAGCATCCAGCACAGTAACATGGTGTACGCGCACTTCCAGCTCCTCGATCTTTGTCAAGGGTTTCTTGGGTCAAATCTGGCAACACTGTGCATGCGATCCTGTCGCTTCATTCCAAAACAACAGTAAAGAAGGGGCTGCACACCATTACAGGTGTCTCTTTGTCTGCCCCCTTCAGAGGCTCTGGCACATCTTCCTCCTTGTTCCCCAGCGGTGTCTCCCAGAAACAATCCTCTTGTGGGCGCTTGGCCCCTTCGAAATGACCAGCGTCCCATTCATAGGAATTCCGAACATCCAGAACCACTGGTTGGTCCCTGGGGTGCGTTTTTCCTCCCTCCCCAACTGTGACTCGCTTTGCATTGGTGAGCATCTCCTTCCATTGGGCAGCTTTCATAGGCATGGCACGGGCAGCTGGGTCAGTTATGGGCAGCGACGCCATGCCGCCCTTCAGTTGAACGAGGTTGGGCTTGTACTGCAATCGCAGTCGAGGGAACTGGTGGCCTGAGCAGGGCTCTTGGCTCCAGCGCAGGCCCTGAGCAGCGGCAGCTACACAATCAGAAGGTAGAGTCAAGATGGGGCTCAAGAGAATGAAAACGCAGCCCAAGAGGAAGACAATCCTCTCAGGAAACAGATAGAAGTGTAGAAGGACAAGGGGTGAAAGCAGAGCCAGCGAAACCTTTGTCTCATGGGTGCGAAGGAACTGGTAGTGAGGACAAACAAAAGAGATATTTCAAGTCCATGACAAGCCGTGTGAGTGCACACCAGCTGCAAATATTCACACCCAATCCTGTGCTTCTGCAGTGGCTGCTGCACTGGCTGTTTGTCATCAAATTCTTCCATAAACAGCACAATCCAATATGGCCAGCCAAATTTTCATGCAGAGCTGTTCAGGGCCCAGGCCTGACCCACAGCAACAGTTCATTATTTTGGTGTTTGACCATGCTTCTTGCAACTGAAGAAAGAGTCTTTGTCACCTTAAAGAGATCCTGCCCCTCCACCCAGCGTGCATAGTCTGTGGCATCTTCCACAAGGCCACTGAGCTGTGCATTGATGCCTAGCCTGCTCAAATATATCCGTCCCTTGATGTCCCTCCCCCCAATCCACTCCTTGTGCTTGCTTACAACCTGCACATACACAATCTTCTGCAGGTGTGTGTGGTACAGCAATGAGGACAGGCTGGGCTGGATGCGAACAAATGGGGAATGGCTGCTTGTTGTTGCATCCGAGGTGCAACGTCAACGTCGTGTTCATGTTGGGCAACGTATTTGCAGGGAACTTTGACATATTTATGGATCATTTCTGTGTGCTGTTCTTAGAATCTGCCATGATTCAAGCTCGTTATCGAAATGAATGTCCAAAATCAAGTCCACTTGCAACTGGTCAGGCTTAATTCCCATCATCACGTTGCAGTGTTTATGGATACCGCGCCCTGGACCAACCATGCGAAATTTTACGCCTGACATCGCCTTGAAGGGGCCAGACCATTGCTGTTTCCCTTTCCACAGATACAAAGATGAAATCGACATATGCTGCTGTGCGCAGGAGCAGAAACCGACAGGGAAGTTGCTCCGCCGCGTTTTGGCTTCAGCAGAGAGGCCCCAGACAAAGAGGCGGCTGATCACCTTTTGGGGACAATCAATGTCCACCAGATGGTAGAAACTGACGACGCAGTAGCCATTTTCCGTCTCGTCGCCAGCGCCGGCAACCTTCCCCTCTCGACCACCGCCAACGTCCCCATTGGCCACAGCAAAAGTCTGGACAAGCCATTCTCTCCGCAGCGATTTCGCACTGTTGTGCAGAATCCGCAACTCTAATTTGGCTCGGTTGATGCGAAGGCCTCCGGGTAGCGCCCAGGGTGATGTCCGTCGGGCGCTCCCCGCGAATGGCTGCACCAATCCCCTGATGACGATCATCGGGTCGCAAGCGCAGTCGCTCCTTCCAAGCCTCAGCCCAGTGCTCAGGGACCGGAGCGCCCTTGCGCCCGGTAAGCACTCCCCCCCGGGCTTCACTCCACGCACCGAGCAACGCAGGGCCGAAGCGAAGGCACTGTGGATTGCAGCTTGCCACGCCAGCAATGGCGGCCTCCGTGCAAACCACCACCATCCCCACAAACTGCGAGTCGTTAAAGTACTGCCCTGCATTTGGGCCCACAACTGCGAGTCGTTAAAGTACTGCCCTGCATGTGGGCATCCTGGGCCACCTTGGGCTCCAAACGTCGTGGCGAGCGCGCACCTCACTGCGCGCTGCACACCCCCACAAACCCTGCAACCGTGCTTGCCTGCGCGTTGCTGGCAATTCAGAGAAGTCCAAAAGCCGGGGGGGGTCGCTGCAGCATCCTTCGTCAGCCGCGAACCCCGCACCCGGTTCTGACGGAAGTTGAGCGCCCATGCTGCCGACAGCGCTTCGGGGCCTCGCCACGCAGGGCCAGCCAGTCGCCCACGTCCTGAGGGCGTTCAGGGGAGGCGCCCGGTCGTCCAATCTAGAAACGCGGCTCAGCCTCTTTGGCAGCCTCCGCTGGCTGGACTCCCTGTCAGCCAAGGCCCCGAGGTCGTGGATTTGCGGAGAGCAGGGGCAGGTGTGATGAAGACCCGCCCATGGGCTTGATTGCAACCTGCGCTTCAGCGTTGCGGGGGGGATGATGTCCATCTGCGGGAAGGGACGCCAGAATGGCATGTCTGCCTGTTCGAGCCGTTCGGGGAGGGAATGTTCGATGTCTGCGACTGCCGATTGGCCTGAACGTCCGAATGGGGCATTGGGAATTGGGATGTGGATGGGACGGTTGGATTGTTGTGGCTGCTGCACCGTTGGCAAACACAGTTGAGGGACGCGCCCTGCACTCCTTTGTGTTGCGCCATTGACCAGACACCTGGACGGCAATCCTGCACTGCCAGGAATGCCTCGTCTTCGAGCCTGCTGTGCAACACAAGCTCCTACCTCAGGAACGCCGCCAACGGCGCGGAGATCTTCCTCATCGGCACAGCGCACATATCGAAGAAGAGCGCTGAAGAGGTGACCCAACTGAAGCAAAGGCGCCTTGTCCATGGCCGCAAGCCTTGCGGGCACATCCTGAGCTGATGGATTCTGGGCCTTTGAATCCGAGCTTGCAATGCGAATGTTGACTCTGCCTGACAGGCTTGTTGGCTTCCCTTGCATTCTCCCATCAACCCCGCTGTTTGTGTCGAGCGCTGTGGTGCTGTCCAAGTTTTGGACTGCATTTACATTGACAGGGTAAAACACTGGCACTGCACATGAAGGCGATGGTGGCCATGTGAAGCATGGGGCTGCCACCAGTTGTCCTGGCCTTGTAGGCGCCTGGCCTTGTATCGTCCACGTCAGCAAAATCACACAGAGGACTTACAGTTCCATGTTCTTTTCGCAATGCTGGATAGACACTGATGCAGTGTGCTGTGGGTTCAATTCTTGCCTGTGCAGGTGAAAGAGACCATCAACTTTGTTAAGCCAGACGTCGTGATGGTGGAACTGTGCCATGACAGAGCCATTAGGCTAAGATCGGGGCGGGCATCGACGTTTGGAGACCTGCTTGCGATACTATTGAGACCCTTGACAGAAGGCGGGTTCGATCCACAAAAGTTTGGAGCGTCTTTGTCAGAATTGTTCCTTAAGAGCTTCTACAAGTAGGTGCGTGGCTGGGGCTCAACGTGTTAGTACACTGAATTGGAATCTGGAAAGTCAGAGCACTGGCCAGCCTGTGGACTGCACACCATGCACCCTTGCTTGAAATTGCATTGCCTCCAGGAGTCAGTTCATCCGGTTGCAGACCTTGAAGTGTGAGCCCATAGTTCCAGATATCAATATCGTTACCTGCACGTTTTACTTCTATTCAGCTCTTGAGATGCTCTGCCCTTGCACAGTCGTCGTGCACAGCTGTGTTGTGCACAGAAATGCATGCTGCAGCCCTTCATGTCAGTGTTGAGAAAGGCTCACTTCCTGGGTCCCAAACGCATATGTGGAATATGCGCTCCCTGCTGAGTCAACAGACGATTGGCTGCATGCAAGCTCTATTTCATTGACATCGTTACAAGCCTTCCAATCCAGCACTCTTGGCTGTTGGTCCTGACAAATTGAAACCACAAAAAGGCAAAGCGGCAATCCTTTTGACTGTAGTTCCCAGCAACCTGTGTCCAAAATTTGATGGTTTGTGCATCCTTTAGTTGCATTTGTTAGACGTGTAAAAATGTGGCCCTTGCTTCTTTGTCTTGTCAAAGACAATTATCAGGATTCAGCAGCCCTTGCCTGTGCAAGGCTATGCCCGGCGTATGGCTGTGCACAGACGTTGAGGCTTGTATTGTTGTTTAAGGTATCTGCAGGCACTAGGTATGGACCCGGGGCTGGAATTCAAGGTTGCTATGGAGGAAGGCGAAAAGCGTGGTGCCCGCATCGTGTTTGGCGATGTTCCCATCAAGACAACAATGGGCAGAATCACTTCTGCAATGACTGCTATGGACGTGGTGAAGATTTTCGCGTCTCCACTTTTCTCAAAGGTGAGAAATACAGCTTATTTGCCAGGATTTGGGTCTTGTGGATCCTCTGTTCTCACTCCAACGTATCCTTGGACAGTTGTGGCTGCTAATGTGACACATCAACTGCCTCACAAATCCACTGTTATGCTCGATGTCAAAAGTTGCTGAATTGTCTTCCACTGTGCCAGCAGACTTTTGGTTTGCTTTCCATCCTGGATAATCTTTGCTCAGGACAAAGTGAAGGTTGCTTCAAAAAAGAAAGGAAACACATCATGTTGTGGAAATGCCCTCCACATCAAAAATATATGCTGCAAAGATTACGTAGTGCCTTTGGGTGCAACTGGAAAGAGATGCTGCAGCTGTACTGCTGATGGCAAGAAAATATGGCTTCAGCGGGTCAGGAAGGGAAGCTGTAGTGTGTGCAGTGTGCTTGTTTAGATACAAGGGCCAGGTTTCTGTGCTTTGGGCACGTGTGTGAACCAACACAGCTAGTTGCGAGCAAAACTACATCCCTTGTTGTTGTCCCTTTTCACTGTGGGTGCCCTGCACTCGCTTTGTTTATGGGCAACTATTATCCATGGAAATGCGCCAATACTTGTGCTCACCATCGAAATGAAGCAATGAATCCAAAGAGAAAAGGGCTTGTTGAACTCGTTTTCCCTCTGCAACAATTGCTGCCATTTTTCTCTGAGGTTGGCTGCGCGTCCTGAAGCAACGCACCCCTGTTTCGCTTTCTCAGCAGCCATCGCCGGAGATGAGAGAGCTCTTCGAGAACATGAAGAACATTGAGTCTGTGGTGGAGGGCATGAAGCGACGCGTGGTGGTGAGGGCAATGCAGAGGTGGATGGCAGAGATGCACCCCAAGCTTGCCCAAGTCCTCATTCACGAGCGTGACAAGTACATGGTGGAGCAGCTGAGGAAGCTGGAGGGAAGGGTGGTTGCAGTCGTTGGCTTGGTAAGGGCCGCACCCACGTGTTCGTTGGCAGATTCAAAATCCGTTGTGGTGACATTTGTCCGAAGTACATATGCTCCTTATCCACTGTGACCACAGGAGAAACGGGAGGAAAACTCTGTGTGCCCGTCATTGTGCCCATCTGTCAGACCAGGACGCACCTGACTGTTTGTTGGCTGGTTGAAATTCCGATTTGATGAAATTTACCCAGAATGGAGAATGTTCACAGAAGTTGTTCAATGGCCATGCAGGCCGCTGTACCCCAACCGATTCTCAGTATCGAAACATGGACGCAATTCGAACTGTGATGATAGCTGACCTGCCAAACCCCCCCATAAAGTGCTGAATTTCACAGTGTCAGCACTGATGCACAAAGAACCAGCACCATCAATCCGCATGGCCCAGGACTGGAGCGACGTGGCCATAGGTATTTCCTCTTGTTTGAGGCAGGAGTCGCGCTTGAATTCACAAATGCAGCACACATGGAAACACAGAACAGCGATGGGCTGGGTGTGTTCACCAACCGAGATGCTTGCAGTTTTCCGCTCCATTGCCGCTGTGATGGAGAATTCTGACGACATGGTCATGTTCATGGATGCTTGAGTGTCTCTACTAGGAAATTAGTACCTATTGACAGTGGCAATCTTGTGTTCTCATCGTCTGGGACTGATTCGGCTCTGGCTTTGCGACAAACTTTCTGTGGCTTTTGTCTGCTTTGTAGGGACATTTGGATGGCATAGAACGCCTCTGGGAAGACACGGAGTTCGGCGCAAGCCAGCCCCCTACTCCATCAGATCATTCTGTCTAACTGCGCGATGGATCCGAGCATGGTGGCCCTGGCATGTCATACAACTGGATCTGTGACTACATGGGCATGCCGACGAATACCCGGATCCAATTGCAGCGTACAGGTTCCCTGACTAGTGCCACGACCAAGAAGAGGTTAGCCATCGATTGTCTCAAGATTCATGACCGACAAAGAGTTTGCTCGCAAGCATAGCGCACTGGTAGAAGCGCCCTACGTAATATTATTCTCCAGGAATCGAGACGCCAGGGTTAATAAATGGCATCCACTAGAGTGCCTCCCAGCACTTTCTTGGCTGGATGACTGGCATCCACATGACGTGGGCGCTGCCAATCAGCAGCGTTGAGATCCACCATGTGATCCTGTGACTTTATTTCAGTCACAACGCTTCAGCTTTCCTCAATCCAAGGTGTTTTCTTGACAAGGAACATTGTGGTGCACATCAAATGCAACCTGGTGACCTGTGCAACAGCAGAGTGACAAAAGAGCCGAATGACGAAAGACCAGAGTAGCAAAGGGGATTCGTTCCTTTTCTGTAGCTTTTGTGTTGTATCACCTGCGACGTGACAGTGTGAATGCCCCTCGTGTTTGCCTGTTTGAGTGTGCCATTCCTACAACGACCATCACCCGCTTTGGGGCACATTCTAACAGATATTGGTTTGCGGTGGGTAAGTCTTCACCTGGCTTTTAACCCTGCAGCCAAATTGGCCCGACCCAGATTATTGTTGTTGGAGAGGCGCACGGGCAGCAACCGATGCATCAAATCGGCGATAAACACACTTGGCGCTAATACCTCGTGTTTGTTATGAAATGCTGAAAACGATGTCGACTTGATTGATGGCCCAAACCGTTGATGAAGGACAGCAGGGTCTTCAACGGATCATAACGGAGCAAAACGGAGCAAAGGGACACGCGGGAGACTGCTCCCTAAATGCAGAGTCATCTAATAATGTCATTCGTTCCATTTAGGCCGTCTCACCTTGCCCGAGAGAGCGTGAACGCAGCCAACACCGTCTGGCTGAGTCATAATTGCGTGTCGGTTACAGCTTTACATGTTCATCAGTGACACCCCTGCAGTATGCGGGGGGAAGCCACACTGAACAAACGCCCAATCCCTTTGCTGGCTGCCCCCAGACACATGACCGCCGCGCGCGGCGTCCCCACGCCAGGCCCGGTCCACGCGAACGGCCTTCCCCGACCTTGTCGCCGCCCCTTACCCTCGCGTGCGTCCCCGACGTCCGCGATGGGCTCGGCGGCCCCCGGCCCCGGGAGCCGCGCCCCGATCCCCATCTACCACGTGGACGCCTTTGCGGAGAAGCCCTTCGAGGGCAACCCCGCCGCGGTGTGCCCCCTTGACGGCGCCTGGCTTCCTGACGCCACCCTGCAGGGCGTCGCCGCAGAGAACAACCTCGCGGAGACGGCCTTCATCAAGGCACGTTGCGACGCGCACTCGCACCCCATCTTCGCGGCCAATGCGCCATGTGAGACAGCGTGCAGTTGCGACGTGCGTTCCCATCCCGTCCCGACAGGCAATATGCAGTGTGAAACGACGTGAACGTCGTAGAGTCTCGCCGTGTTGCTCACTGGAGAGAGGGCAGGATTTGCCAAGGGAGAGGAACGGGGCACGCAAAGGCGCCATATCCCGAGCGAGCGCGAGGGAGGCAAGACTTGTCAAAGAGAAAAGAAGTGGGTCGCGTTAAGGGCGCCCGATCCCGAGCAAATGCGCGCCAGACGCTCCCCGGAGAGGTCGTGTCGCCCATTGCGCGGCATGTTTTCAATTCCGAGAAAGGACATGGGACCAACACGGGGCCCATATTGATGGCGCCTGGCGCGCGCAGGCGTGCGACGATTTCGAGGGCAGCGGCGCCTATGAGATCCGCTGGTTCACGCCCACGGTGGAGGTGGACCTCTGCGGCCACGCAACACTGGCCAGCGCCCACGTACTGTTCGAGCACACGCGGTGCCCCCGGGCGCTGGCGGCGGGCCAGGTGGCCTTCAGGTCCAGGAGCGGCGAGCTGAGTGTGCGCAGGGAGGGCCAGATGCTGTGGCTGGACTTCCCGGCGCTGGGGTTCGAGGAGACGGAGGCACCGGCGGGGCTGAGGGAGGCGCTGGGCCTGCGGCCCGACCAGGGCGAGGTGTTCAGGTGGGGCGATCGAAGGAGGAGAGGACGGACGGAGTTGAACCGGGCGCCGGGATCGCCGGGATCCACCCGCGCCAGTGGTGAAAAAGTGTTTGTGACGAAGGCGGGGAGGGTGGGGTGGCGACCAACACGAACGGGGACAGCAGGGTTGTGGGTCCGCGGCAACGGCCCACAGCCGAGCACAAGGGCAACACAAGTTCTTTCCCTTGTATCCAGTCCGTTCATCGAGGTCCTACATGCAATTCCTAATGCTTCATTACCTCTTTTTGCGTTGGCCTGTTAATAATACTCAGTCAGTTCTAGTCACAACAACGCCAAGTCGCTGCGGGCCCAATTAGGACTTGGAGAATTTCCTGTGCACGCAGATTTGCCGCTGATTTTTTGCCGTCGGAGAGGGAAGACGCTCTCTCTTCTGGAAGCGGGAAAGCGAGCTGCTGAACGCCAGTAGCGGGCGTCGAATGCGGGCCAGGTCGTTGTTGAATTTCGGCCGCTGCGTTTCGTCTCGGCTCTTTTCTGTTCATTCTATTTGTGCCCTGTTTTTGTCTCCTTGCCAATGGAAATGATCATATTTGGCCATGTCTCAGGTTTGTTGCGTACAACGTGCCCGCGCGGTCCAAAAAGAACTGGCCATCCGCGCATCAAACAACGGCACTAATGCTCACTCAATAAGCATAAGTGGCTGCCATCATTGAGCATTAGTGATTGGCCGCCATGGTGGCCACCTCTTTAAAGGAAATTTCCTCGCTGCGCAACATTTGCCTGCTGCATGCATTAAGCCCCCCCCCCCCCCAAACCCCAACCCAATCCGGAAGAAAAAACACCACCAAACAACCACCCCAACATCCTGTGCCTGGACCAGGTCCCAATACGACGTCGTGGTCGCGCTGGCCGGAGAGGAGGACGTCCGCGCCCTGGCCCCCGACATGAGGGCCCTGTCGGCGTGCCTGTCGTCCGCCGGCGCCCGCGGCGCCATCGCCACCGCCGCGGCCTCCGGCGACCTCGACTTCCTGTCGCGCTTCTTCGCCCCGAACTCGGGCATCGACGAGGACCCAGTGACGGGCTCCGCCCACTGCGTGCTGATCCCCTTCTGGGCGGCGCGCCTGGGCAAGAAGAGCATGCGGGCCAGGCAGATATCGCGGAGGGGCGGCGACGTTGCGTGCGAGCTGGGGGAGGGCCGGGTGAACATCGGGGGCCGCGCAAGGACGTTTGTCAGCGGCCAGATGTGGCTGTGACGTCTTTTCCGTCGCTTAAGGATCTTTCCGTTGCTCGCGCGCTTTCGTGTGCTTTCTTTGGCGTCGTGTGTCTTGGGTTGTCGAAAAGGTTTCTGGGTTGGCGCGTGACTCGGTGGATTGCGGCATTAGGACTCGGGCGTGCGCCGCGTGGGGCTTGCGACGCTGGCGGGGCGACCGCTGGAGTTGGGCATGGACGCTCACTCGCATTTGGACCCGTGCTTTTTCGTGAGCAGTTTTGCAATATATTGGGTATTTTTTGACGGCATTTTTTCGTTTGACGAAATGTTCGGCGAGCAGCTGTACGACCCTATTACGACAACAGTTGCATGACGTGTAGAACAGCTCGTTGGCGCAACGCCCTTGATACACGTGGCATATGTTTTCCGCGAGCGCTAAGCAAGATCTGCAGTGCTTGTTTGCCGGAGAAGCGCTTGCCCACAGAGCGCATTATTTCTGAGAAGCGTGTGCCTCGCCTCAGTGATTGTTGCTCCTGGCACAACAGACTTGCAAGTGCGCTCCCGTGCTTTCTGCGTTTCGTATTTGCGCGATACGCAGCGCCACGTTGTTGGCCTTTCTGCCGTACAGGAGAACCCAAGAATATGATGCTTCAGTAGGACAGAGGATATGATAGGACGGACATGTCCGCCCTATCCTCTCCTCTGTCCTACCATTTATCATAGGTGTAAGCGCTTCTGTACTTGTTTTGCAGCGCCGTCTGAATGTGCGCGCAGTGTGGACTGCCATGGAAAGTGCCATGCTGCCAACTCAGTGAAGGAATCTATGAATGTCCCTTGCGTGGCTTATGCCGGTCCCTTGATGGGGCGACCCCCGTACATGGCCAACAGTCCCTTAGAATATTGCGGCCTTAAGCATTTGACAAATTGGCGTCTGCTCAAGTTACCAAGCACAATAATGAGGCACGCTTCAGGGTAATTCCTCATCCATCCTGATGTGGCACTTCACTATGCAAAAGCCTGCTGCGTGTGATGGCCCGAGTAGGCTACAGTAGCAGCCGTTAAACACAAAGCAAGGATTAAGACGATGGATTAAGACGAGGGCACAAGATTTCTAGTCCATGCATTGGAGCTCTTCAAACGTGCGGACAGCTGAAACGAAACATGGATGCATGGCCTGAGGTATTATGGACAAGAAAAGAATTGGTACTGCAAAAGCAGGCAGGAGATGCCAAATATTGGAGGCCTCGTGACGCCCTTGGATTCGAGCTTCATGGTCGAACGTTTGTGACTGCCGTTGTGTAATGGTCAACCTGTCCCTGACTACGCCACAGTGGCCCTTATGTCAATGACATTTCCGCGTCAAGCAGCCGTGTCAGGAAAATAAGGTCGCTGTCGCATTGACATGCACGGAGGAGAAAATGACGAAGGTTTTGGTGCCTCAGATGCGGTTGGCATTGCATGCAGGCTTGTACATTGCACCCCTAATCAAGCGATTTTGCAGCAAGGGACTTATAAAAGCATTTACTCTTTGTGAGCTATCTGGAATGGGCCAAAATCGAAGGCCGCAGAGAAACAGCACGTCATTAGAAATATTGGCGAGAATGGCGCGCAGAAATTCTGCATCGATGACAGAAACATGTAAAAAATGAAACATCCAACGGCCTCTCTTGTGCGAAAGAGACGTTAGATACGCCGTAGCTCTCTGGCGTGCGACGTAGGAGGAGGGTGCTCCTATTCCCACAAGCGATAAAACGGGATGCCATAGTGTTTGCTCCAAAACCGTCGCCGCCCTGTCCAACAAGACCAAGGCGTATCTCTCGATCGTATCTCCGTCGAGCGTTCGAGCCTCTCCCCACCAAAAATATCAGTGGGACGCCGTCCCTGGGAGGCGCCCAAGCGAGACCTGCCCACCGGTGGCGGCCGCCCACAAAAGAGGTCGGAGTTTCCCAGGACCGTCTTCTCGCCCCGTCCCAGAGAGCGACGGTGTCGATCACCGCGACGGCGCCTGCTTGATCACAGCGGCCGGATACAGGCTTGACCGGCGACGGCGCCCAAGCAGAGGCCCTGAAATCGTATTCGAGGGCCGAAGCCCGGCCCGCCTGGGCGCCTCAGACGGGTCTCGACCCTACAGGCGTTCGAATTGGAATCGGAAGGGCCGGTTGGCGTCTGGCGCTCTGCGGCGAGCGGGGCTCGATGTCTGGGGGGGAAATCCAAATCAGGTGAGTGGATGGATTTCGCCTTTTTGGTTGTCGTCTTTTGCTGTTGAGACCCTCAGTGTCCGCTGTTTTTCTTCCGACGTGGTTCCCTGATTGGATCATTTGTGTCAATAATAGACTACGTGGGTGGGCGCTTCAACATTGCTTGTGTTTGCGCTCCGCTAGTGGTGGCTTTCGCCCCCCAAAATTGCTTTGGACAATACAAAGCGGGGACCCTTGCGTCCGGAGGCGATGGCAGGTAGACATACAAGAACCTTTTTGAGTCTTCTAAGCACTCATTTAATCCGCTCGCCACCGGGTGGTCACACATCTCTGCATGGCTGATGTCCCGAGGCTGGCGATTTCCAAACAATTTGCGAACTGTTTGATCAAACCATGCAGGGTGAAAAACTCCACGCAAAACCCAAATCTGCTTGCCGACCTGTTGGCGATCGCTTTTTCAGGGACGAGAGAACGTTGGCCGAGAGGAATGAGGACATCAACAGAAGGCGGCTGGAGGGCGCGTCCAAGGGAGGAGGACCCCTCACGGTCTGCCGCTCTTGGTGTTGCCCATGCTGGCAGAAGCACTGGATTTTGAATATTTTACATCTTGATTGAACAACTGCAAAGCGCTTTTGCAATAAATTGCACTGTATGCAATACAGTCACTCATTCTTATCAACAATAATTGCATTTAAATTGCGCTTATGCTGTGTTTGCTTGATAGATTACCTATGCTGCTTCCGGAGCATAACATTTAGATCACTCTGAGCTAAAACTTCAGTAATTGATCTTTTCATGAGTTGTTCCTGCGGAATTTATAACAGTATATTTTTCTTTGCTTTTGCCCTCTCAACAAATAGGGATATGGAAATTAGCTCCAAAGATGCGTGCATTGAGGCACAGCGACGGGCAATTTCCTACAGCGGCCGAAGATGTATAGCTGGCGCTCAGCATACTGCCGGACTGGACGAAAACTTCATATGTAATTTTGCGTTTTTTTGCAGGTCACGGATCCAGACGCGTTTGCAAGGCTACACGAAAAGATGTTGCAAGATGCAGAGAAACAAAGGCAGGCTGCCACTGTTGCAACCGGGATTTAAGAGCCAAAAAGATGTCCCGATGCCTATTTCCATTTCATTCTGCAAGCATTAACAAAATTGAGCATGTTGTCCTCATGCGAACAAAAACTGGTTGCCTTGAAAGACGGATACCGTAGGACCTGTTTCCGACCTGCACATCGCAATGTTGATTCGACTTATCGAATCATCTTACAAGTGATGCCACTGAAGAATTCGACAATGCATCCTAAAATTGGGTGAGGAGTACATTCGCACTCGCCACTGCGCTTCAATCAGTTTCATGGGCGCTCTGTGCTCCAGGCTGCTAGGATTGAGCACTGCTGTACTGGCTTGGCATTCAAGATCAGTACATTGTGCACGTTGAACACAAGATAAATTTTTCCGGAATCTGGAAAAGATACAGTGTAGCATCGCGATATCTAGTTGCTTGAAAATGCATTATTGCATCATTCACGTCTACAACATTTATCTGGATGCCACAGACAAATAGGAAAAGAAAGGGAAATGGAGAGATCACGTCGAGAAGGAGACAACTACAAGTGAGATCATACTCGAAGATCAATGGCGCTGCCGTAGCCATAGCACCTGACGCTTCTGTTTCTCCTGTGATGTCTGTGAATAACACACATGGATTCACTCATTCCTTCAGTTTAACAAAATGTGCGTCTTCAATAACTTGGCAGCGCCCACTTATGTGATAGCGTGCACTAATGTTGTGGGTCTCCAAAATGATGCCAAGTACATCCCCAAACTGGCCGTCTTTATTTTAAATGCCTCATGCAATTGGATTCATTCCATCCACCATGCATTTTATGGCGACCTCTAGGCATAAATACGCCACGATTGCGTGTGCAGCCATGAAAAGTGGCAAAACCGTGGCCAAGGAAGCTCACAGCTCCACACCGTGTATCTGGACGACCACTTGTGGGTGATTTCATGCCATTAATGTTAGTGGATATTCAATCCACTAGTATGTCGTCCTAGCGAAGAATACATCGACGCTGAAATGGCGATCGCACCACGCGCCAGCACTTTTTTCCCTCTGAAACGGGCAAACTTTGTGTCATCTACGCTGCAGCCATTTCACCGCATTGTATTCTGTAATTCATGCAATCATTAAGCACAATTAAGACTCCTCCTTTGTGATACTCCTCCGTGTTGTAGGCCCATTGAAGAGCGTCGAGCACAGGCGCGGCTGGCGAAATCTCAAAAGCGGGTGGGAGCTTATGCTTTCACCGTTTGCCGGGTTTGCGAGGTTGTTGCCAGTACTGGAGGACATTTTCATCAGCACCGCAGTACTGGAAACAATGCTGCAGTTATGGATAAATAGCTGCGGTACTGACTACAGTATTGCGGACTGGATGAAGTACCTTGATCCTTGCCCACTCCACCCATGCGGCTGTGTGCTAAGGACATATATTAATTTTGATCCCTTGCAACAAATTTGCAGTGTCAATGGAAACAAATGAGAATGCACGTATTTCCAATATTTCCGATCAGATATTGGTAAATGAATGCGACACGTCGAAAGCAAATCTCCGGTACAATACGCGTGACTACGGATATTTAGTCGCTGTGATTCAGTTGCATTCAAACTGGCTGTAACAGCAATGGGTTGCTTTTTGATTCAGGACTTGGAAGAAACTAGACTGGTGGCGTCCAAATTTGACCCTTATAAGGACTATTATCAGGTAACGGGGGCCAATGAACTTTCTCGAGGGGTGGGAAACACACTAAAATAGCCACCGGAATTACGCAACATGTAA